ACGTTCGTCCTCTACAGAGTTTCTCCCGAATATCTGGCTTGACAGGGTTGAGAGTGGATTCGATATTGCGTCCACTCTTCCTCGAAAATGCCACGCATTCCAGGCTTTCGGATAATATTCAATTGAAATATAGGGTCGTCCTGGACCAGTTACAACTACAGCACTATCTCAAACAACACTTTTCATAAGTGCGACTCGTCGCATACTTCCGAAACTACGGTCGCATTTGAGGTTTACGCTTGCCTCTTACATTTGACTAGAGCTTCTAGCCAATGCTGGTCTTAGCTGTCCGAGCCGGAACTTTCTCAGAATCTGTGAAGAGTACGTCCGCCTATAGTTCGGACAAATGTTGAGATACGTGATTGGACCCCAGCTGTGGTATCGTCGCCTCAGGTGATCACACTGTGCTTCTGCTACTCCATCCTTCTCGACTATTTGAGTTCACCGATCAATTCGACGTAAGATCTTACCCTCGCAGACGTGTCTTGTTAGTCAAGGTCTGCTTGCTATCGCTGCATGCTGTGAATTCTACTCTGCAAGTGTATTCGTACGACATCTCCACCCTTCACTTACCATATGCGGTATCTTCAACATTGTTCTTGGCTCGTCTTGCCAACCACATGCAACATATGACTTGTACGCTGTGCAACCATGTGCATGTGGAGACATAACCCATCTGTTGTCAAGTCTTAACGAGACCGGTGTCCCCGAGCCCATCGTGGGTGCAATATTGAATCTTGATGTGCCTTCTCAACTCGAGCCAGCGCTTGTTAGGCTTCCAATTTCACGCTCGCATACACCTTCACATCATGATCGACTTGCATTCTGCCCTGTCAAGCTTCGACTTCGCAACGTGAACGTGCTCCTATGTGCTCACATGCCGTGAGCCATGCAATCTCGATTTACTGCTTTACGAGTGTTCAAAGTCGCTTACACATTGGATACCCGAGCAATTCGTCTGGTCGACAGCATACGCGTTAATAGCTTTTGTGCATAGAGCCTTTCAAGTTTGAGGCTTTTGTTCAGCGTCAATGGACTCATGGAACAAGGAACATTGTGGAGTTGCTCGTGTCATGGGGGATCTGCAACACGTTATTGCTGATTCCCGATCACTTACTACTAGTACGAGTCAGTCACTCCATCAGAACAAGGATTACTACAAAAACTCTTCCATTCTGATTCCAGTGTATAATCCCATCTGTGGAGACTGTCAGGACCTCGTTTTAATTATAGTATATACTACATACTATATACGACCAGTTCGACTGCGGAAGGAAGCAGACAGACTCGGAAGGAGTCAAACGAACCAGATACGCACCATGTACATACTTGCCTGCCTTTCACAAGGTCCCCGTCGAGTCACCGTAATCCAATATATCTGGAATGGTCCCCATTGCGTGCCGCATCTTTAAAGTTAAACCAGCGCAGGGTTGGGACATGCCATAAACTTTTGGCCAGACTCCCGATACTGTCGTTGAGCTTACCTCAACATCCCGCTTACAACTCCAAACTGCCCAAAATAGCGGTGCTTCCAATTGGACTCCTCCCAATTCCATATGGACATGAGGTAATAGTTGAACCACTGGCAGTGCTGCAACCTGCCGAATGGCATGTCATGCCCGAATGTTGCACGAGGCGCAGCTATCCGACGGTGACTCGGTTGCGACGTCACAAATTCAGTCGGCGTATACTGCTATCCAATCTGATATTCATTAAGGGGTTTATTAGAATTGTGCACGAGGAACCCTTCCCGACTCGTCCTGCGGAAGCTTTCAAAACAATGTAGCTGTCCCACACAAAGAGAATGGAAGTGATAAAATAATTTATTTTGATAGAAAAAAATCATATCGACAACATCAATGGCGGACAAGGCACTCACAAATTTGATCACCCTGGGCTTCCGTCATCATGTACATGTCACCCCGTAGGACGAGGCAACGTGTCTCCTGTGTGAAAATATCAATATCTCACATCAATGACAGAGACTTTCATATGTAGCATCGCATCTTAGAAAGTATTTGAGTAGAAAGTTCATCTCGTGGGCGCATGACGCTCATAAAGCAGGCAGCGCGCCACCTCAAACGGATTCTGAACTTACTGGAGAAGATGAGGATAATATAGCTTCCCTGCAGAGCCTACCCACATATTCGTAGAAGAGATGCCATATCGCTCACCTTACGTGGTAAAGTAATGTCAGTGAATCGCGATAAGCCATGCAGGTACCCCAAGGACGAGAACTTTAATCTATGACAAGACATGTGAGAGGCGCAGGACACGTAGCTGCGGTGGTAAAACAGCATCGACTGGGGCGGTAGCTGCCTTAACGCTAATGCACGCCATCAAAGCGAGGTATCTTCGTGGCATTGCACCGGGATGCACGGCTCACTTTCCAGACTGCCTGAAACATTCGATCTCATCGCCTGAAGAATTATTTCTTCATGGAGAGGTATATGGGGCGCTGAATGAAGTATAGTGAATCATCTCGGCTTTTGCGTGAACATCCCGCCCGCGAAAGTTTCAAAGAATCGGAGCAATAGTCACGGTGGGCACTAGCAATGGGAACAAGTGAGCATATGTGTACCACAAGAAAAACTCACGAGCGACTCTCCACAAATGTATTTTGGGAATTGTAGTATAATTGAATACTCAAGTACTTGGCTAGTAGTACCAGTTGGTACTATGGACCTCGGCAGGCATCAAATTTGTTTGCCCGTATTTGGCACGGCGTGTTAGTAGCCATGAAACTTTCGTCCTTGTCACAAGTACTATTGTCATGGCCGATATTGACGCGACGCAAACACCCACTACGGAGGGTGTAGACCCTATAATCGATGATGGCGACGAATTTGAATCGAAGGTTCGCTTCTTCATCTCTTAAACCTCATCATTTTAGAATTTGTGCACTAGGAAATTCAGCTCATGAAGCAGCGGGTCGAAGAAATGGAACGTGAAGCAAAAAAACTGAGGGAGTTGCAGGCAGCTGCAGAGTCAGCAAATGGGGGATCTGCTGGCGAGGCGGACCAAGGTGTTCCGATGGAGACTGAGGAAGACAAGTCCATCGCCGACGGCCGGAGCGTATTTGTTGGTAATGTGCGAGCGACTATCTGCGCCTTCTACCACGGTGGTGACTTTGCTCATACTGTTCTTTCTATCTAGGTGGACTATGGGGCAACCCCAGAAGAGATCCAAGCGCATTTCCAGGCTTGCGGGACGATCAATCGTGTAACTATTCTTTGTGACAAGTTTACCGGACACCCTAAAGGGTATGTGGGTTTTTTCGCAACACTCAGTTCATCTTATTTCTTCGCTCACAGGTTTGCCTACGTCGAATTCGCCGAGCTTGAACACATAGATGCAGCATTAGCTATGGATAATTCCCTATTCCGCGGACGATTAATAAAAGTGCTTATGACGCTTTCTGAGCATCATTATGCCATCTAATTCACACATTTACAGGTAACTACAAAGCGGACTAATGTTCCTGGGTTTAACCGGGGGAGAGGGCGGGGAGGTGGTTACCGCGGTGGATATCGAGGTGGTCACCGTGGTGGGTACGGGTACAGCCCCTATAGAGCACGCGGCAGGTAAGCTTTCCACAATGCATCCATGCATCAAGCTTAGTGAAGATTACAGAGGGCGCGGGCGCGGATACTAATTACAAAACCGAGGACCTTGACGCGCACAGCGCGTGCGCGGCCCTTCGTATCCTGTACGTCAGCTGTCCTCTGTCTCTGCGTGCACTTTGGAAATCAGGCTGTGCGACTTACGAATCGACGTTTGCTACGCTCTATATCTTGTTTTCTCGTTATGTATTATTTTCATACATACACTGCTTGCTCTACAATGCAATTGTCGATAATTACTATGCGGGACACTGGCTCGGCGTTTGCCGGCCATAATCTATCAAGTACGAAGCTTGGACAGAACTCGAATCACTTGCGCCTGACACCATGTTCTCAAAATCATGTAGAACATTCATTAGACATTTGTCGAGCAATACTGCGGTATATCCTTTCTCGAAGGCTGTCATGCTTCCGCCGCCACCGCCAGAAATACCTGCTTCCCAGATGGAGGCTTTGCGCCAAGGGAAGGGCATAATGGCTTATTTGCAAAAAAATCTCCCGCATCCTGCAAAACAAAAATGGCTTGCTACATGGTTTGCCAGAAGACATCCAGACCGACTTCTTCCTGGTTCGGTACTGTCAGTCAGCCTCGAGCATGCACCCACTACTTTCTCCGGGGTTCTGCTGTCCATACGACGGCGGGGCCCTGACACATCCTTTACCCTGCGAAATGTCATACAACGAACAGGCGTGGAGATGCAGTTCTTTGTGAACTCGCCACATGTGAAGGATATCAAAATTTTGCAGAGAGCTGGCGGCGGAGGTGGAAAGGAGGGAAGACGACAGCGAAGGGCCAAATTATTCTTCCTCAGAGACGCGCCAGGGAAGATGACTGCTATCTCTGCGGGCGTGAAGGCCTGAGTATGGTAGGTATGTTACAATCTCAGCTTGCTTCGTGGCTGATTTCCCCTGGTATTTTCAAATTTCAGTGTTCCCTCCTGCTCACCAGATTACCGTCTGGGAGATCTGTCTACGAATTTGACTGCGGTTGGACCCTGTGCAAATTGCACATTGTCGCTCATTTTTTCTGATCAGAAAGGAAGTCCAGGTGGTGGCCCATGGATACAGGATGGAGCAGACGGGTTGATGCTATTAATACTGAATTTCGTTGTATACACCGTTACATTAACTTGTTCTTTCATACCCGAGCTTCCAGTATTTCATCAGTGGAGTTGTCACTTTAGCTGTGACTTTTTATTTCCGTGAGCAACGCCCATAACGTCTGGTACTGTACATTCAGTCAGGCGACGAAAGATATCAGGTTTGCCGCTAGCCGCCCAACGTTGCCCAATCGGGGAGCGTCGCATACTAAGAGGACTTCATTCTCAACCGCACTGCATCACGTACAGGCGGTTTGACTAGCCTCATTGTTCCAGCATGCCTCGAGAACATCGTTCTATGCGTAGCCTTACTATATCGCCGAAGCGCACATCCTCTCCTGGTCCTCCCTCACCCACGTTTTCAGACGCGACACACGCTTCTGCAATGAATTTTGGAGTAGACGGTCCTGAGAAGATCATTACTCGGGCCAACCTCAAAGTTAGCTTGCAGTCTTATGACGATGTGCGTTCCTTCTCAACATGTCGTCGAAGTTCGGAAGAGTCTAATACATGATGGGTTTCTGCGCAGCTCATGAATGCAAGCGCAAATTATCGTGCTGCTTTACTCCATATGTCGAAAGTGACTTTTGCATTTGCAGATGCTTTGGAGAAATGTTCAGGGTATGCTCGACTGTCGATATTAAATGGGAAAATGGAGCTCATTCATGCAGTTTGAAGGGACCTACGTACGAAACAGGCACAAGACTACAGGCCGCCTCAGGACTTCATCATCTCATCGGTAACCATTGGCATGTCCTTGTACGAATTATCCTTGCTCTTCCTTACTTTTAATTCTTACGCTTTTGAATAGGCGGAGACACTTGACAAGAGCTTCGAGAAACCATTGCGGCAACATTTGGACACATACCGAACGATCGTAAACGTACGCAGTTTCTCCGCAGCCTCATGTCGGACCCTTTCACATATCATTGTCACAGGAGCGCTCCGCATCGTATGAGAAGGCTCTTCGCGAAAAGAGTGAAATAATTCGCCAAACAGAATTGAGTAACATGAATAAAAAGCAGAGAAGTGGGTCCCTTCTTCCGGTCTTCTCGGGTCTTGAGTGACGTCTGTACCTATTCAGACCTGCAAAGCTTCCGTGAAGCCCTTGCGGTGCTTCAGCGCCAAGTGGATGACCTGGATGGCCTCAAGGCACAACATTACCAAGAAATAATGGAGCACGAGGAAGAAGTCTGGGACGTGGTACAAGGCAAGGTATGCGTATTGACAAATCATCACACCTTCGTAAAATACTGACCTATTCACCTCAAGGTCTGCGTAGCCGTTCGCTCGACTATGGATGTGTTTGACAGGTTCACAAATAAGGCGTGAGTCATTAAACCCTGAAATTGACTATTACTCAAAGCCTATCCCCACCTTGTAGATCGGATTCTATCTTGGAAGCGATGCTCCAGTCCGTTCCAGACCCTTTTGACTCGTATGGACCTCCACAGGCGGAGGACCAGATCTTCACCATTCTTCCTCCGCTGGCCGTAATGGCTAATGCACCCTCGCCCTCGCCGAGCCCATTAGCTATGACACCACCACCCCCAAATCCTGACGTACCCCCAGCGATCATTAATAATTCTTGGGCTCCAAATGGGGGCTTCTTTGCCACAACTTCAGAATGGGCTGATTCTGTCTCTCCTTCCTCAACTCCGACTCGGTCGGCATCACCCTCCACCCAACTCAAGCGTCGTCAGTCGCATCCGCCGAGCACTACACAACACGCACGGAAGGCGGAGTCTAAGCTTCGGAGTGTTCTTTCAGTAATTGACGAGACACACGTTCGTCATTCGAGTGACCCTATCGATGCACCTCCCTCAGAATCCCAGACTTCACCGCCGGATATACATGGAGGGACTCTCGAACCTGATACGAGTTGGGAGTCATTTACCTATGGCGCATTACCATATACTTCCATCACGGATGATGCCACTCCAGTTCAGTCCACGTTAGTCGATTCGACGATAAAACATTCTACTCAGAGTGACGTTGGGGAATCTGACCTCAGTCACATTTCCCACCCACAGTCAGATGAAACACCACAATTCACACATGTTTAGTAATTGCGTATTATAATTTTTATTGCTTGTGTTTACGATAAGATATGATCGTTTATGTAGTGCACAAACAGCTGACAAGGACATTTGATACCTTTTTCACGGATGTGGTCGTTAGTTATGACAATCATCTGATTAGATTCTTCGAAAAGCACCGCAACATGCTTCAACATCGTGTGGGTCGGACACCATATTGATATAGCACCTCTTCGTTGATGGCCGCCGGACTCCTGAAAAGTAGATCTGTGCCTGCGCCAGTTTTGGGGAAAGCGATGACATCTCGGATGGTTGACGTCCTGCAAAGGATAGCCATCAGGCGATCAAAACCTAGATCGGAGCTTTTTGTCAGCTTTTAGTGCGTACGTTACAAAAAATTTGATTGGTCTACCGAGAGCAATTCCGCCATGAGGGGGTGCACCGCATTTGAGAGCATGTAATAGATGATCAAACGACGACTTCTCGGCATCACTCAGCTAAAAAAAGACATGAGTCGGGACAAAGTATAACACGCCACAGGGGCGAGACAGAGAACCGAACCTGTAAAACCTGGGAAAAGATGTACTCCTGCATCGCAGCATCGTGTACCCTAACCGAGCCTCCACCAATCTCAACGCCATTCAGAACTAGGTCGTAATGTTGTCCCCGAACCTGAAAGTAAGGTTGAGACTAAGGATAAGCTCCTGGCACGAAGGACTCTGGCAAAACGGATTAGCACGAACCTGATCGATACGGCCTGCATACATGGCTTCTATATCCTGCCACATCGGCGCTGTGAAAGGGTGATGTGTGCTGCTCCATCGCCCACGAGCCAAAAACTCCTTGTCAGGATCGGCGCGAGTGAATAGTGGAAACTCGGTGACCCATAGGAAGTGAGGAATCGTGGGGGGTACGTAATCACCTACGAATGGCATGAATGCCTCTCCGCTACAATAGTAGACAGCACATACCGCGGGCATGTGCCAACTCAGATATTCGTGTTCGGAGGCGACCCAGAGCAGTGGACCCGCCCTATCCACATGTAAACATAACTTGGAAGCACCGGAGATAGTATAGAGGCACACCTCGGGGATTTTGCGACGACGAGATAGCCATATGGTATCGCCGCTACTGACTCCTAACGTCTTATTCAAAAGGGCATGCTCCTCGCTGCTCAGCCTCAGATTGATAGACCGGTTATCACACAACCAATTTAACAAATTGCTATCGGCGATCACAGAGCGGCTCTATAAACTGATCATGTGAAATTATCGATATTGATCAAGAGGTGATGACTGACGATATTTGGTTCGTTCTCGTAGTCGCATTTTTGACTTGCCCGTAAGAACGAGGAGTTCTCAGATGGACGAAGAATGATCGCCTCAAGAATGTCCCCGAGGTCTTCAAACGATGCACGAGCATGAATTGGTAGCGAGGGCGTAATGTCCTGGATCTGGTATAGGCAGTGTAAGCGTTATTCAGTGCACAAGCAGCCTACACAACCTCCAGATCGATCCGAGTGTCGGGTTTGTCTGAACCATACTAAACGATCATTAATATGACCAAATTACAATGTTCCTCGATCGGTAAATTGCTAGCTTACACGTGCCATTGCTTCGTTGTAGGTGATCACCCGGAACGAGCTCGGAAGTGTGATTTCTTCGACTTTCTGCCATATGCGTCGAACAAGCTTTTCGATTACGGTGCGAACCTCGTGGCCTCCAATTCGCCATGTATTAGATGAGAAAATATTTGAATCCACACCCCACGAGACAAATGCCATTTCTAGGTCGATTTGCGTGAACTCGGGTTGTCTGTCCTTCCGACCATCTTCATCACGGAAGCACTTGGCTATTTGAAAATACTTGTCAACAGCTCCAGAACAGATAAGCAGCTGTTTTGGTTGCTGTGGAGACTGCGGAAGAGCGTAGAATAAAGGGGTTTGTTTTCCATCATGCTGTGCAGTTGATTGGCCGACGCGGGACGGAACCAAAAACTCTCTTGCACCTTCTGGCGTTGACTTCAAAAGCAGTGGAGTCTCTACTTCGAGAAAGCCTAGAAATGACTGTGATCTTAGGACATTTGACGGATATCAAGAGCACGCACCATCGTCATGCAGAGTATCGCGAATTATTCGAGAAACTTGGCTTCTTTTTCTGATATTGTCCGCAAGAGCAGTCCTGCGAAGATCAAGATATCGAAAACGTGCTCTAAGGTCTTCATTGACCTATAATTGATCTCATTAATAGTAGAAGAACTCCGCGTCACCCCGCATACCAATGTCTGATTGTCCGACGGTATGAATGGCATGTTACGATGCGCAGGATTGAGGAGAGTAAAGTTATTTACTTGGACCTCAATCTGTCCTGTGCCTTCCTTGATGATACTTTGGATGAGCGTCTAGAACGATGACAGCTTGTGAGAAAAAAGGCTCCACTGACATTACGGCGAGATAGCTCTGGTCTTACGAGGACTTCACCCTCGATCGCAATAATCGACTCTGCAGGAAGTTCGGACAACGCGGTCAGATGAGCATTCGCATGCCCCTTGCGTAAGACCAATTGGGTTGTTCCAGAAGAATCTTTGATGGGAAAGAAGGACATTGTCTTTGACATTTTGCTTTATTTAGAAAAAGTAAGCAAATTGAGAGGAGAACATATGTAAAAGGTAATCACCGCTCAGGGAGTAACCAACCAGTCAACGTGACGTGGATGCCAGCGTGCGCGGGAGTGAGCTCACCACACGTATGAGTCCGTTTTGGATATGGGGCTGTTGATGACACATGGGTTAGTATAACGTTGAAAACGGGAGAATCGCGTGAGGAACGCGTTATATTGCTGACCTGAACAAGCCTTGCCTCGCGTATGAACGTGCCTCTTTGCATTCGATGATAATGGAGCAGTTCGAAAATAGTGCGACTTCGAGGAGGGTCTGAAATCTAGAAGTTGTTTCGAGAATGGTGACAGGATCGAAAGTCCTCTTAGACTGCGCATGATGCCAGTAACTACGGAATGTTAGCAATTAAGTTAGTTCACGTTGGAGCTCACTGCAAGGGTGGTGACTGTTTTATGCTAAGTTCGCGGGTTATTACATAATTAACGGTAAAGATAATTTTCCGTACTTATGCTTGCTGGCAGCCTGGCACCCACCACCTCGTTTCCCTTTATTTTTAAGTAATTTCAATCAAATCTAAGCTTACATCTCAATGTCATCCCGGGTCTCTATCCATGGACTTTCTCAGTCTAGATCTTACTAGTTCAATTCGCTTACATCCCTTTTCCCTTCACACGACGGCAATCACTCAAAAATAATATTTTATAGACATCCAGTGCCTGCGCGCCCGAGGCTCACCTTTATAAGACGTCCCGCGTTCAGCTCGGGTTGTATCAAACACCCATGTCCGTGCACAGCCTACCAGTAGAACTTCTCGATAGCGTTGCGCAGCATCTCTCTTGCTCTTCTCTCGCTGCTCTTGCTCAAACATGCTCCACTCTCTGTCCAGTCGCACAGCGCGTCCTCTACTGTAGTGTATCGGCTTCCGCCTGGTCGCAAAACTTATGTGTCATTGACACTCTTGCGAAGAAACCGCATATCGCGCGTTTCGTGCGGTCCTTTTACATCGCTATAGATTCGCTTGCTCCCGTCTTCTTCGCCTATTATCGCCAACTTGCTGAAGCAATTCTTAATATGTCAGAGTTAACCTCTCTCACTCTCCTCGTGGATTCGAGTGTGAGCTGGGTGTTGAAGGAAGCCTCTAGTCGCATCCACTTCCCTCACTTGCTTCACTTCACCTGCTCCTTTTCTTTCGATGAAAACGTCGCCCGGTTCCTTGATAGGACACCGTCGCTTCTTGAGCTTGAGGTGGATTCCATCCCTACCGCGTTGACGCGAGAGTCCCCACCCCCTTACCTTGCTCCAACTTCTATTCCCAAACTGGAACAGTTCATTGGTTCATCCCGGACAGCCGAATTAATCGTTCCTGGCCGTCCAGTGAAGAGCATCCATCTGAACGGCGGTCTTTTGGAGGATGATATTCCTCTCCTTGCCCGCTCGACTGTCCCTGTAGTCATTCTGGGAGCAGTTACAAATTTACCTCCTGTGCCCTTCTTGGAAACACTGCACAAGCATGTGCCTCACTTAGTCTATTTACGAGTGATGTCAACCAAGGGCATCTTCATGGCTCCCACTGCCGTAAGTCGTCATGGTTTTTCATTTGTAGCGCTCAGGAACATTAATTTCCATGGTACAGGAATTTTATGAGCAGGTGGCCAGCATCCTGACGTCCTTCACAGAGCTCAGCGCATTCGAGCTCTCCGGGATGCACTGGGGCTCTAAGGCAAAGCAAAATGATGGCACAAAAAGGGTTTGGCAATCAGCGCCCCTTCAAATTAGGAATCATCCAGAGGATGACCTGCTTTTTGGTTCAGAGATATTCCTTGCGTATTGATCTACTTAGTCGTATACTTCTAGAGCATAATATATCGTCGGCAGACTTATTTCCATCACCCCAAAGTCAATTTACGTAGTAGTCTAACACATAGCATTTATTCCCAGTACATCCCTAATATGATACAGATGTCTAGTTGTCTAGCTCATTTCTTCGATCGCACGGTTAACAAATGATACAGCATCATAGCAAACGAGACACCCTTCACTCAGTTCTGATATGCTTGTTCCCCGCCCTCCAACGAACTTTGCGGCGAAGCCGACATAATTATGTCCACATTGTGGCAGTTCAAATTTCAAGAACTGCCATCCTCTCACAGGTTCTCCGTCGACGGACACTTTCTCCTCCACAACATCATATTCTATCCTTCTGAAATCAAAGCCGAGGCCAATCCCAAGAGCCTTGGTATAAGCCTCTTTCAAGGTCCATATGCAGTAAAACCTGCGAATCGCCTCTTCCTCAGTGACATCAGCAAGAATTAAATTCTTTTCTCGAGTCGTGAGCTTTCGGTAATAAGGCGAGGGAATGAGTGCAGCCCGAAGATACGAAGCACGGACGTTTCACCTGACTGTCGACGATGTCAACGAATTCAGTAAAAGTAGTCCGCGGAGGAATTTTGAGTTTCATGACATCAACTCCTATGTTGAACGCCGGAGGTCCCAAGTCGCCCGTTCCGAACGCCATGGCGATGACACCTTCATCATGAGTAACATTGAAAGCCAATGGAGGATCTACTCCAGGAGTTGTCTGGGGCAAAAGAATCAATACAAGATGAAGGTGATTTATCTTGCAAAGACATACACAGTATGGCTTCCCCGTATCAGTGGTTGCAAAAGTCATGTCATCTTTATCCACTCCACGCTTCTGGAGTAAGACTCTGGGAAGAAGATTGCCAATGAGCGATCCTTGGATGAAAGATCAGGCGTCAGTGTGGGTAGTGCTAATATATGACCTGCTGAGTTGCATACGTACGACAAGCATCTTCACGGCGATAAAACTTTGTGATCTTGTTCTGCGCTGTCTGATCCACTAGGGGCAATGCGGTATGATAAAGCTAATCGGACGTATGAGGTGATCAGAACGATGATGTGAAATGCGACATGAACGACATGGCACGCACGGAATCGGGGAATTCGAGCGGGTCGTATAAGACATTCCAAACTTGCATGAGTGGTATAGATTACTAGATACTTATCCAGTTGCAGACACCAATATCAGCGGAGACGCCGCGGTAACACCATGCCCGGAAGCAACCGGCAGGGTTAGCAACAGTAACACAGGCTTGCTGTGGGTTCAAATTTGTTTCATACCTCGTACTACTTATTCCAGAGATGACGATTCAATTTGTGACCTTTGGGATGTTTATTATTGATGAATTTTCCTTTGCAGATGAGCAAGGGAAACCTACCGGAAAGACGGTAGCACCCCAGGGAAGCTAGTTACAGATTCAACTGCTGCTGATCCTTACGCCATGTATCATAATAGATCGGAGGTGGAGGAACCTATGCTATTATCGGTGCTCGCATCTGGTCAGCATTAAAGGGTTGTGACTTGAATTTGTGAACAGATCGACCTTATTGCAGGTTGCCTCCAGATACCCTTGGAATGATCATCGATCGAGGAAACGATTTCCCTCAGGACATGCAGAATCGGTTGTTGACATACGGTTCCGACATATGGCACTTTCGTGACGACACAAATCGCCTTACTACTCGGTCAAGGAATTCGTACAAAGGACAATTTCGAGGGTTGCGTTGTTATTTCATACGTCTATCGCCACCGTGTCTAACATTCCCATATGACAACAGTTTTGAATACATCACTCCGCGGATCAGACTGACGCCTCGCGACTTGGAAAGAACGCGGCTTACACGTCCTGCTTCGGTTCATTTCATTTGTTCACCCACGCGCGCGCTTCAAATAGTATCAGAGATCCAAGAGGTTGAAAAATGGAACCCGACCACAATATTCGAACCTATACCTGTTCGTGCAACCTTCTGTCTCACAATTAATGATCGAATATAAAGCAGGATAGATGTATTCCCGAGGAGTTACCTTCACTGAAAGCAGTCCTCCCACATATCACAATCCTCAGGTAGGCAAAACAAAGTTGGCATCAGTGTCTTCCGCTCACGCGGAGTCCGGACACTAGTCCAAATGCTGAAGAGGCCCTGAGCCTGCTTTCTCTTCCGTTAATTGTTACGAAATCTGCCGTAGAAAATGCTGCATCAGAGTTTTTGAAGATGGGTGTGGGTAAAGAAAATAGTGGAAGCGTTATAATACGCAGTGGTGCCCTCGGTGCATACGTCATGACCTATGACAGGAAAGGGCGATGGATTGACGCATTCTGGAGTTCCGCTGAGAATATTGACAACTTGATGGTGGTCGATGTCACAGGTGATTCTTGGGGCAAATATTCGCATGGCCGTGATCATACTGATAAAAAACTAGGTGCTGGCAACTCTTTTCTTGGCGGGCTCGCTGCGGGATTGTCCATCACAAACGGAAATGTCTATGAAGGTGAGTTAGCGTACTCATGATGTCGACGCACAGCTAATTAGGCCGTCGTTCACGCATTCTAGCAGCACTATATGCTTCGGTGTCAGCCTCTTTCACGGTTCAACAGCTTGGTCTTCCACACCTTACAGTGGGTTCCGATGGAGTGGAAGAATGGAACCAGGACTCTCCGCATAGACGCCTTGAAGCTCTGCGGCAGCGACAAGACAGAAATATAAAATAAAAATCATTAGAAGTACTGATGTACAGCGTCCGATACAACAATAATACGAATCGCAGGTACCATGAGTGTCCGCTATCGGCTTCACCACCTAAGTTTCAGCAGATGGCTGTTGCTGCCCCTGCGGTTGAGCGAATCTTGCACGACTTGCAGCAAAAAGCTCTTCTTGCTTTGCCATAAGTTCCTCTGGCGTTAAACCCGAATCTTTTATCTTGTCTGCCTTCTTCTCCCGGTCCTGAAACGAATTCCATCATACGGCTAGGGTGACAGGATGAACTCCACACACCTTTTGTTGCTGCTTGTGATCTTTCAAGACATCTTCAACTTCAGTTGTAAAGGAATCGAAGCCTAGCCGCTGCAGCGAAGTCAGCGGAGGATAGAGATCAATCATAAACATACTTTCAGTGCCGCGATGATATGCTCCGGTGCTATTGTCTTCTTGGATTCTTGCTCACATATCTCGTTGGCCTCCGACGAGATCAAGTGAATAAATTCTGCCAAATGTGAGCCCTAACGAGGCACATGAAGATCATTGACGATGTTCACCTACACAACACTCTATGACTAGATCTCGCGTCTCCTTCGCACATGTGACTTCAGCGGGTAGTAGTTCTGGGAGTCAGGTAATAGGGAGCGAATAACAGTTCAAGAGGTCGGAAAATGAACTACATGCTTCTGAGACATACCACTGATCATCTTTGCGACCGTTGCCTTCGGCAGCGAGAGATCTTCATCCGACGGTCCAGCTCCCGAGTGTCCTTCACGGTCTGACATGGTTTGCACAAGTTAGTGGCACAAACGCGGCCAAAAGCGAATCAAAGCAATATGTCACAGGTTGTGTTTTATGTAGTGGTTTCTTTTTGCCTTTTTCGAAGTCCGAATTTACTTACATCTATCCTCAATCAACAACCAAGATGTCGTCTGTGCGTCAACAAGCTCATAGCCGGATGTCATGATATTAACCTACCTTAGGTCAACCCTGTTAATCCCAAGCCTTTCATGCAGGAGCTTACCGGAAAGCCGGTATTCGTAAAGCTAAAATGGGGGCTTGAGTACAAAGGATTCCTTGTCAGTACGGATGGGTATATGAACCTCCAGGTATGAACAACAAGTTCAATGCTTATTTCTGTGGATCTCTGACGTACTGTATAGCTGGCTAACACGGAAGAATTTCAAGACGGGAAATCAAATGGTGCTCTGGGCGAAGTCTTCATCAGGTATGTGTTTCATTGATCCATTGTTAATGCTTATACCAGCTTTCCTGCAGGTGTAACAATGTACTGTACATCATGAGTATCATTTCTTCTATTCTAGTTTTCTATACTTACATGTTTCGCGACTTTACAGGGAAGCTCCTCCAGAATGATCAATCATGCAACGTTCGCTCAAAATATATTTTCCGACGGCTTCAGGCCATTACTCTTGTTGTACCATAGGACTTTCGAGAGTTTACTCGATCGGAGTGGTTTGTATAGTGCTTGCATGATTTATCGCGATGCGTCAAAAACTTAGATGATCGTTCTTCCTTGAACCTGCACTTGCAATGGAGGGCGTCTAGACTTGAAAGACGATCTTGCATCATAATATGACTAATTACCTGCAGTGTTGGGGAATTGCGCTCAATTTTCAGACTGTCAGTGGCAGCGGTGACGGCTGATCCAGGTACTTTCTACGCTGGCAGTCATTCTTCAAAGGCGGCGCGAGTTGATGAACACGTTATCTTCGGACCGTCCGATTTTTGGCATGAGTTTGGTACCCCACAACGAAAGATGTAATGCACGGCCACTATCTAACGGATATAATGGTTTGAAGCAGCTGCTTTGACGGTTTTTGCAAGTTCTCGAACTCAGAGAGAACTTCAGATATGATTCCATGTGTCACGTGTATCAGCCTGAAATTCCCCTCGTTTGCAAGCCATTCGTTTCCTTCCACATTGTCATCAACATGGCAAAATCAACTCGATCAAAAGTAAAGCGCTCGTTCAGAGCAAAAAAACGCGATGAAGGTGTATACGCAGCAACTGAGGCTGCACGTCTGCAGAGACTCAATTCTAAATTGATGGCGAAAATTGATCATGGAGATGAGGAATCAGCAGAACCGGTGGATGATGATACTGCGCAAGGTTCGTCACATTTTCAAGCTTTACGATATCACTGGGAAGGCATCTACTCTCTTGTTTCGGTTTGTCTAATGCATAAGTCAGCCTCGCTTACACCTACCCCCACTAGATGATTCTACGGCACCAGGTCTATAAGCTCTGGACACAATCTTGAAATTCCACTGACTGCTTTTTTAGGTACCATGGAACTCGATGATTCCGCAAAATCATTAACTACAAAACCATCGCGCGTCTCAACTCACGGTTCAAGGAACTCGCGAAGGGAGGAGTGGAGAAAGTCAAAAGGCATGACGCCTGTAGTGAAGTTGACGAGAATGAACCGCCAGGGACTACCAGCAGCGCGGCGGAGGTCTGGGCGCCCGTCACGTCGGCGATGATGCGTGGTCACTGGCGTACGACCCTATGAGTGTCTTCTCATCAGGTTGCCTTCCTTATCGCTATGCCATCTGTATACCACCACACCCAAAAGTATTATACTTGCGATAACAAAACTCGAGGTCTATCTCCATACTATATCCGAGTCACAGTATATACTAAACAACTAAGGCGAATGAACCTATTTGGTTACAGATATTTCTCCTACATTTGCAAATTGCAACCTGGAACTGTGAAATCCAGGATGAAACGGTGATTAAAACCATTGTCCAGCGTCCACTCGAATGGCTGAGCCAAAGCGGATATACCATGAAATCTGAGCGGTCAAACGCCTATCACCGTGAGGTCTTCGAGTCTGACTCGGAGTCTACCGAAGTGAGGTTGCGCTCGTAAGGGGACTTCCTCCTGGCGGATTGTGGTGGGCTGGAACGCATTATAATTAGATCTTCTCAGTTTGCTTTTGACGAAGTACATACCCAAACGAACCGATAGCGCCCATAGTGGCACGAATCCCCAGCGTCGTTGTCTTAGGACTGGGCAAAGGCAAGAAGCTGACAGGACCTGGCGATGAACTAGGACTTCTAGGGCTGACTGAAGGAGAGGTGGAATTGTGATTAACCAACAACGGGTTATTGTGGGCCTTTTCGCCGTTGCCTTTGTAGTATGCATCAAGGTGAATAAACACACGACAGGCAGTAATAGCTCTATGCGCCGTTACAAAAAACGACCATAAAAACAAAACAAAGCACGTACGAGACTGCAGCAGCGGGCACCTGGAATAGAGGGTTCAGCCAGGTAAACAAAGCAGCCATGCAACTTACCATCGCGATGCTACGTCCAGCATTTATGTTAGCCCAGTAAAATGGAACGTAATGGTGGAAGCCACTCACACATTCATCTCATCTAAGTGTCCCAATACAATTCAGGTTTGATTCTCAAAACATTGCAACATGGCTGGCTCACTATTGAGGTTGAGAGCAGCTAAGACCTATGTAGAAATCAGCTTGAGTGGAAGCATATCTGAGAAGAGGACCTACAGCCGGAATGGTGTTGCAGGTCGATGTGATGAGGAAGTAAATCAAGCCATCGCGACGGAGAAGGCCCGAAAGATCCTCATGCCTGAAACGTTTCCTGAGAACGAATAGTGTCATCACCAAAATAAAAAAGTCAAATGACATGGCTGGTAGACGTTCGATGAGCGGCAAAATATAGCGGGGAACTTGGGTCACTTGCTGTAGGCGTAGTTCAGGTTCAAGAGGATGTGATTTGTTCTGACAACTATACAAGCCCCAGCCTGGTAATCCCATGACGCTTGCACGGTCATTATGGTGCCACTTAGGATCGCACACTTCCCAAATGACAAGGCAAGCATCGACAGAACTGCCCGACGTTCCCACTCCCAAAGCGCCATGCTTCGAAGGCGAGGTCAGTGACTTACAATAAAAGCAAGACAGTACTTACGTTCTAATCATCAGCGAAGTGGAGGCACTTAGAATTGTTAAATTGCCTGCGATCTGCGAGTATGATATTAGTTTCAATCAATCTAATGATGTCTTCATTAGCTCACAAAAGTGAACGTGTACACGGCCTTCAGGATGACCAATATTAATGTCAGCCCATATACAGTCCGCACATAGGAAATGGTACTTGCATTACAATCAATCTAACCGAGGATGAGGATAAGTCACTTTATTTTTTAGGGAAACGCAATGTTACCTTCGTGGATATATTAACAAAGATGATCCTAGAGTTGACTTGAGTCAGCAACGCGAGGTCCTGGGATAGCTTAGCAGCTTACAATCCAATGAAAGCAAAGAGCATGCTGTAACGGCACAGAAAAAAGAAAACTTTAGACCACATAAGCATCAGAAAATTGCCAATGGTTAATACACATACTCTGTAACCGTCAAGATCAGCCACGATCACAGATGAGAAATAGACGCACCAAAGGCCAAGCCAGCTTGCGCCTACCCAAGAACACAGATAACTCGAATCCGCCAGTCGTGCAGATTTCCCATATGTAAATTCCAAACAGGACATAGACCACCTTAGTGAAAGCGACTACAAGAGTAAAATGATCAGAGTAGAAAATTCCTAGAAAATCAGCATGATACTCACTGCCTTCTGCCTTTATTTCCTTCGAGGTTTTCCAATCAACCATTGCGATTGACTTGGGACGATGTAACGAACGACGGTGAGGAAGCCAATAGATGAGGAAGCAACTAATGAAGAGCAAACTAAATCACTTAACATGTTCCATCGGATATATATACCTCCTTGATAAGGTATTCAAGAATTAACATTCAGTCCTGATCGACGTGGCGTCGAGACCTCTTTCCGTCGTAGCAGGAACCAGGAAAGTGTTTATTGGATTGTTACGTACCTCTCAGGCATGCATGCACTCGCAGGCAGAGGTAAATTTCCTTGTACGGGGCTATGATATTCGTGTTAGCACTTAGTTGCCATGACTGAGGATGTCAGCATCTATATCTAACAGCGGCGTCGCCACTAGGTAGATGTACCGAAGGACAAGATGCGACTGTTAACAGAAGGTGAAAGCGCGAGGATTCATTGTCCAGCGGTCGTTTCATGTACTTGGTTTCCACTGAACGAGGGCACTGGAGACTATATCAAATCCTCGGAGCGTACAAATACGGGCTTCCGAAAATAGACTTGTACTGGACTGCTGGATCGGAGCTGCGACTCGTGGCCCTAGTAGCAGTAATAGATGATTCTCCACTTGGTGATGTTCAGTCAAACTAGTGAACTGCACGAACTCGGCGGATGTTGGAGATCCTGCCTGAGATTCAAGATAAGATAGGTGATAGAGATTCGACATTGAGCTACACACCGCATTATCTATATCACTGGTCAGTGATACCCTAGCACTATTCCTGTTCTGGTGATATATCATAGTGTGGCGGTTTGGTGCCCACTTCCGTCATGCTCAGATTCACAGCCACGCTAATTCGAAGATTCAAACTCAACAAAAGGATTATTTCATGGTCCAAACTCAGACAAAGGACTGATCTTCAACTACACCACAGCGAGACACTGCCATCCGCCCCTGCGCTAACCAACCATGGTTGCTTGTTGACCCACTTGATTTGGAGCACACCAAGTCCCTCCTGGACATCATGGCCGCGCAATATCTTGAGGGGTACAATGAGCGGATCCGTCATAAGATCACTGTAGACCCTTGCGTGGAAAATTTGGATCGAGCCGTCGTCAGATGAAGACGCAAACAGAGGGTAGGTTGGGTGGAAATGCAGTGATCGAATGGCTCTTGAGTGATAGCTGGTGGCAAGTCGCCGAAATTAATGACCGATTTTGAATTGAAACGAACAACTTACCGAAGAACTTTGTACGGTTTTTCGCTTAGTTCTAGATCGAACCAGCACAGCTTTCGGTCGTAGCCGCCGACAATGATATGGTCGCCGGACGGATGTACGTCCATCGACGATATCCATTTGATGCCAGGCATGAGAGTTTTCAGCAGCTTCTGCTCAGCCAGATTATACAGTCTGACATAACGTTGGGTCTATTACATTGGAATGAATATAAGAAGGAGCTCGGCAAGTGGAACACGTACCGCAACGAAGAAGTGGGGCTTCGTAGGATGGAATAACACCATCTGAACAGCACCCTTGATTTTTTTGAACGGCGCCTGCGAATGCCGGCGTGAGATCTGATGCATCCAAACACTACCTTGAGTCTCGCTGCTGGCTGTAAATGAGGGCCTATTAGCTTTTAAAGAGTACTTGCAAAACCATTTTGCTTACAGACTGAAGCTAAATAATCTCCCTTTCTATGCCAAGTCAACTGTCTTGACAGTCCAGATGCGCTTGGAAGTTCAATGGTCAAAATGGGGCCGTCTTCAGCAGCTCCGGATGTCGATATCCATTTAATTGATGACTGAGTAGTAGGGGGAAGAGTGGCAGGTGCCAGAATTGACTGTGTCGCGGTCAACATGGCAGGAGAAATATTTGGCGGTATGAAAAAATGTAGTCGTTCCTCCCTAAGGCACTTGTCAGTAATGTGATGATTGTGGCGGACAACTACTCCTTACGTCCCGGCGACGAGGAAACAAGCGTCAAGTCTTGGGCACCATTCAATGGCGCCAACTTTGCTGCCCAGGTTCCAACGCTTGACCTCTCGCCCCACGTTAACCTCCCAGAGGCTGATCACTCCACTCTCGTCACCACTAGCCACCCACGCGCCATCAGGACTTATGCTTAGACACCTGACTCGTGCTTTGGTGTGCATGAATTGCAGTGATTTGTAGTTGGGGAACGGTCGTAAGCTATTCGGGCTTGGTAGTTTTGGCAGTAGGCTGTTTGGGTCGACATTAAGCTTCACCCTCTGTATCCGGGGTGCAAGATAGAGATCAAGCTGGCGATTAAAACGTTGCTTGATGAACTGGTCGTATGCGGGAACCAAACGAAGCGCAGGATACTTGTAAGGAAGGTAGTCTCGTTCGCGGTCTTCGGGGTCGGTATTCTCCCACTGTTTCCGCTCCTCCTCAGTTGGTAAGTATTCTTCGGGGGGATTGTAGGATTCTGAATTCGTAGGAAGCTTTGGTTTGGGGGCTGGTAACGGGGGCGGTTGATTAGACGGTGGCTCGTTCCATATAGCATAAAATTGCTGCTTTTTATCCGCTGCAGTAGGCTTGGATCCCACGATTCGACCCTGGCGGATAGCACGAACAATCTTCATGATCTGGAAAGAATAAAATAAGGACGTGTAACATGGAACCTAGAAGAAAGTAGACCTTTTGCTTCTCCCATTTACTTGGTAGCCATCTGCGCTTTGGTTCTGGGGCCGATGAAAGAGGCATGACTTCTTCTTTGCCTTTACCGGTGAACCACTCAATGGTAGGTTCATATGGGTCGTATTCGGCATCAGGATTTTCCCCAGCCTGCAATCTGCGAATGATGTCCAATTCTTCAGCGGATAATGGTTTGTCCATTTGGGTATTTTTGTCAAAAGCAGTTGTCCTGAAACACATTAGCGTATGACCTGACTGGAAGGAGATTATTGCGTACCATGAATTGGGATCTTCTACCGTTTGAAGGAATCTATCGAGCTCGTCGCCTTTAGCTGGACGCAACACTCTTTTGCCATTGATATTGTAGCCCAAGTGGGGTAGGTCATCGTACCAGTGCATTGGTATGTTTCCAACACGGTTAGGATCCTGAGAGATTGTTGCATCACATTGACAAGGATGTATAGGAAAAAGCTAGAACCTACTTACATCTTCTGTCGAGGAGTCCGAATCATAGTCAGGTTCAATCTCTGGGTATACAACTTTTGTCTGTCCAGTGATGTTGGAAACCACCTTTTTAGATTTTGGAAATATATGCAAGTCTGAGTCGGCGTCAGAGTTTTCATCCAAGGTGTCTTCTTCGTCAAGGTCATCTGCATCTTCTTCTTCCTCCTCTTCGTCGCTTTCTTCGTCGCTGTCACTGGCAGCATCAATTTCTGGGAATTCGTCTACGTCTCCATCGTCCGACGCATCGTCCCCCTCTCGGTCCTCGTCCTCGTCCTCTACTTCGTCTTCGCTGTGCATCTCCAAATCCACTGCCCCAGCAAAAGGACCTTTTTCCACCTCTTCAACCTCCTCCTGCTTGCGCTTGTTCCGCACTTTCCCAAGGCCAGTAACTGCCATGTTTTAGGAAAGAGTCTCAAGAAAGGACGTGAAGGATCATACTAAGTTTCACCAATCTCATTTTTCGGTCTGAATCACGTGACCGCTAGATGTTTGTTAGATCTAGATCGGGTATACTACCGTCTAGTATAAACCGCGATGGTCAACTACGGCGGAGGTCAGTGATCATTGCTGGATGTAAAGATAATGACTTTGACACATTTTACACAGATGAAGTATCTGCTTTGGTTCTTGATATAGGCTCCTCATCCGTACGCGCAGGGTACGCCGGGGATGATATCCCTAAGGCCATTATCCCGTCGTTTTATGGCTATAAGGCGACCTCCGGGGATGCTGACGTGCAGATGAGCGAAAACGCACCAGAAAATTTTGATTCAACTCCCAAACAAACCCCAAGTGACGCGAAACTTTACCTCGGGCAGAATGGTCCTTCGATCTGGAGAGAGGGTATGGAAATTGGGAACCCTATACGGGATGCGTTGAGTAAGTAACTTTACAATCTGTTCATAAATGGTATTGATATTTAAACTATGCAGTTTTTGACTTTAATCCAGTCCCTGCTTTGATCTCGCATGCCCTAGTAGATGTTATGCGAGTCAATCCTTCGGAACATCCCATCCTCGTGACCGAGCCAGCTTGGAACACACCTGCAAATAGGGAAAGAATGGCAGAGATTATGTTCGAGGAGTTCCATGTTCCTGCCTTCTACATTGCCAATACTGGCGTTTTGAATGCGTAAGATTTGATTTACTTGTTATGTGGTGTCGATGTCTTCAATCTTGGAGTAGTTTTGCAGCAGGGAAGGGCTCAGCACTAGTGATCGACGTTGGGCATGCAATGGCCAGTATCACCCCAGTAGTCGATGGCTTCGTACTCCGAAAAGGTGTGTCTGCCGTCGATCGTGTTTGGCCTTCCTCATTCTCACATCTCGTAGGCTTGGTATCATCTGCGCTACCTAAACTCGTCCAAGCCCATGCCCGACACATCCTGAGTAACCCAACCCAGACGCGTCGTGGAATCGAACTTCTCCCTCATCAACTTATCGCCAACAAACTGGTGCGTTGTTTGTCATACCCGAATTACTCATTTTATCATTATGACATAACACAGCCTGTCGAGCCTGGTGCACCACCAAGGTTCACCCTCCGTGAAGACCGTATATCTGGAACGACGGAAAGCTGGAGGGTTTGGTGCGAGAGTCGTGAAGTTGAAGAGTGGATACAGAGCGTTGCTGGTGTTCTTGATCAAGGATGGAACGACCAGTAGGTTACTTTCGTGCATGTTTTCGATCTTTCTCATCGTGCATTCACAGGGCTGCGGCGTCTCGTTCACCACGCCAATACGAGTTCCCGACAGGTTACAACACGTACTTCGGGCCGGAACGATACCAAGTTGGCGAACAGTTTTTCTTCCACTCACCACAGCTAGTGGTATGTGTCTCCCTACCGAACCGATCTCAAAGCCGCTCACTTTCTACAGGCGCAAAATCCAAATCTCCCAAAGAACATTCCTACCTTACTTTCAGAGTCCTTGCGAGCCTGTGATCCGGATCTGCGGCAAGTTCTCATGGGAAATGTGGTTCTCACTGGCGGAGGCAGCCTGTTCCCTGGTTTCGCTGATCGATTGGAGGCAGAACTATCAAGGAATTTCCCCCACGTGAGTAATAAAATACTTTAAAACCTACATCATCGATCTAGAAATGCGTCTGCAGGTCAAGATTCATGCTCCTGGAAATCCCATCGAGCGGAGGTATGGTGGTTGGCTAGGAGGAAGCATTCTAGCGAGTCTTGGCACTTTCCATCAGCTGTGGATTAGTAGAGAAGAATGGCAGGTATGCATTACTTCATGTTCCAGTGCTGGCTTCTACTGATACGGTTTTTAGGAACATGGTAAGCCTATTGTGGGGCAGAGGTGTAAATAGGCTCGTCCTATTGGGAGAGTTTGCGGGTGCATTGTGGCTGTGAAAATGTAGCTACTTCCAGTTAGCCTATACTGCGGACCTCGTCTTTGTCCTAAAATGTATGGTAGGCTGTTGTTGCAGAAACCGCATGTCCACTGCCGCAGAAATGTCGTGGTTATATCCTTGAGTGGAGGTCAAATGGGGCCGGGTTGCCACCCTTTTTCATTTCCTATATGCTGTACGCTCCACGACAAAGTTCCCTGGCGCTAGTCAAGACACAAGCTTGGACTTGTGAAATGTACAAGTACGCGTATTACCTTCAGGGGCCTATGCTTAGACTCGAAGTTGCTTTGCTTGAGCTAGGCAATTCCTGATGGAGCAGAAGCTGATATCCCTCAAGATTCACTTAGACCCACATTACAATCCATTGATCTTCCAACTTTCAGCCAACAGATTTTACAAGAGCATATGCGCATTCGAACAACGGCTCAAATGAACAACCGTACGCGTACAAGTATGAAACAACAGCGAGTCAGAGTAAGTAGGCTTAACATGCACTCGCAGGAGTTCAACTCCTACTAGCGCCATAGGCCATACTAATAGCCCTCCCTAACATAAACACAAAAGGTGCAAGGTGAGATGAAAAGGGGCTCCGATTACTACTAGGCAACCACATCAAAAGCCCACACCGCAAAGTAGCTAAAACACACTCGCCAGGGAGTAATAAATAAGGTCGAACGTAAAAGTAAAAGGTGAAATGAATGAAGGGAAGGCCGGGTTGAACAAAGCGCTAGCACTAACGTGTCCGTTCCAACCTAAAGTTCCAGGGTTGGACACACAAGGCAGTTATTGTTGTTGACGATGATGATAGTGTTTTTGTCGTAAAGAGTGGAATGTTGAAGTCGAAGGGACGAGTCATAGCGAAATATTGAGCCGGTTGAACTTTGTAATAGGCCGAAACAGGCGAGTGTGTTTAGTACGCCTCAACTGCTTCCCTGCGCTCGCGAGCACCCATGAGAACACCCAGGCCGCCGATAGCCTTACGGCGCACGCGCGTGGCAAAGTTCTTAGGACCTAATTCATCAGCACCAGAAGGCGGACCACGAGGCTGTCTTAAAGGGCCGATAAATTTATGTGCGATGGGAACGGGCGAGGCAGGTAAGATAGGACGTCCCATTCCCAGCCCCTCGTACAATTTCTTGGCTGCTTCCTCGCGGGCGGACATTGGTGATGTGTCTAAGGAAGATGAGGAGTGGGGGGTAGTGGGATTGGAGAGCGAGGCAGAACTTGAAGTTGAATAGGCATCCTCATGCTCGCTGCCAGAGTCCAAGGCAATGACAGGGAACGTACGCGAAAGAGGTGCCGTAAAGCTCAAAGGGCGTGGGCGCGCCTTGCTGGCAGACGTAGTACCGTTTCCAGGAGGGGGTGAAATACGTTCACCAGGAGGTGGTGTAATTTTAACGCTCGGAGAAACAGCGGAGACCGTGCGGAGGCCATTCAAAACGGAATTAGTGGTGCTTCCACGGCGCCAAGATACAGCAACATCTGACTTGGAAGGAGTGTTATCTTTGATTGTGTAGACATTACCGCTGGGCAAGGAATTTCCGAGTGACGTACCACCACTAATCACAGTGGTTTGCCCGGGAGGAGATGATCCCCTAACCGGAGTCTCGGGACTACTCGGGAAAGCGACACTAGAGGTGACACGCGCACCAACTCGTCCCCCCAGCGCGGCCGTCATTGGCACCTGTTCCTCAAGTGGGGGAGTCTGGACTCCGAGCTGAGCCTTGAGAAGCTCAACCTGACTAGGACGCCTTGCAGGCGGAGAGCCAACAGGACGGATATCAAAGCTTGTTTCAACAGGACCGGCAGTGGCAGAAAGAATTGTGGCGCTTGCACACCTGCTCTGCATCTGCTGGCGTAAGGCGTGCTGAATGAGGATAGCTTGAGCACGAGCATTACGTTGGGCCTGCTCAGACTGGAACAATGCGTGATCATCATTAACATGCGTGTGAAAGATCAAATAAATCAACAAACCTGTAACCGCGCAATCTCCAATTGCATCATCTGCATCTGCTGATATGCATGCAACTGAACCTCGCTAGGATTTTGTGGCTGCATCCCCTGAGAATAAGAAGGGTAAAATGGAACACTGTTTGGATTGAGGGCACTCTGAGCAGCCATTTGCTGCTGTACGAAGCGGTTGTTTGAACCGTCTACTGTGGCAGTCAGGGGACGAGCTGTCTGATTGTTGATGTACATGTTTTGTGAGAAAAGCTCGGCAATTTCATCCATGTCATCCTCCTCCTCTACGAAAACAGAGTGTTGGTTGGACACAAAGCGTGGGACGTTGAATGAACCACCCAGAGCGGCAGTATGAGGACCAGACATGGACGTGGAGCGCACGCCTCCAGTACGAAGACCGTTGAGAAGGGAGGCACGGTTGTTGGACTGCATGGTGGCCATAGTTGAAAAAATGGGAAGATTGCCTAGAGAGCGCGAGTTGGACAATGGCCTTTGTACTAAAACGACACTGAAAGAATTATTGAACAAGACAGACAGATTATGTTGTTGATAGGCGATGAAATGTTACAACTAGAGCAGAGTTAGAGAGAGGAGAAATATGAAATTGGACAACATACCGAGAAATGGAGGTATAAAAGTATCTTTAAAGACACAAAAATGATATTCACGGAGGAAATTTTGTCTGCTAGCTGTTGCAAGCGACGAGCTGGATGATTATAATATGTGGAGTCCCGTGGACGCTTGAATTGAAAGAAATAAAGAGAACTGTTTTATAGGATTTTATAGAATTTTTATGAATGACAAGGAGAAGGATGCTGTGGATGATAAAAGAGAAAGGGAAACCAAAGCAAAGCGAAGAAATTGGACTGGAAGAGTTAATAGGGCCAAAGCGATATAACAAGTGGCAGTGCCACATCAGTCATCCCCCCTAACACCCGTCGTCGAGCTCAGCCCACAGAACAATCAAGCTCACAGCCTCGTGGTTTAAAGCTAGTATAACTTGGATCTCCGTAAGTTACTAACTGTATTCACTGGTCCTTCCGGACCCGCCTATGGCAATATCCGTACACGTGCATTCCGTGTAATGAAAGTTATTGTCTTCCCCACACTTGGAAAGCCTCAGGCCCGATGTTAAAGGTACTTTTTCGCACTCGCCCGAACACGTGTATCAAACACAATGCTGCGTATCGGTGAATGTGCCGTGTGGAATGGGTTTAACATTGTCTGCCAATCCAGTCAAACAAGTCTCAGAGTCATCCCCGTGCGACTAACCTTGAGGTACAGTTCCCAGACATCGTGAAAGAAGGACCGAATTCCATCATCATTCTTGGTCTCATGCAACAGTATGAACTTCATGTCTAAGGTGAGGATGAGAATAATAAACCAGAGAAGGCTTCAACATACTGCCTGGGGTGACGAACGCAGACACCGTCCATTCATTGAATTTATCTACAGATTTCAGATACCTTGCTATGATCAGGGGAGCATATAATCATAAAGAATGGAATAACTTACATGGCGCTTTCCTTTCGCATGACATCTTCAATAACATCTAAACTGGCGTTGGCAATCATTTGGATCACATGTCGATCTTGCCCTCCGCCCATCCTCACAGCACCCCCTTGGACGTGATGAGACTGCGTAGCGCTAGACGCTCCTGACAACGCCGTCAGGGTACCCGCAAACGCAGAAGTAGACCATGTAGGCAAGTTTGATGAAAGTGATGAGGACGTTGGTTGTGGTAGCTTAGTTGAGTAGTGCGTCAAACTGTATATTGGTGTATCAGACGGAGAGAGCAGGAAGAGATGATGAGACATTTTGTCGTCGTGGCCTATAACGAGCCAGCGCTAGCTTGTTTTACGATCGAGAGAATTAATGAAATTGCATCAGCTTGAACGTTGCGGTCAACATGCGTCAATGCGCTCTTCCGAACTTGTTCCATGATGTCGAAAAGGTGCCTGCATGTTTTTAACCGCTCTATCATACAATCAAGATGCAACAGCCGCCTGGCTCATTGCAATACCCTTTGCCGACCTAATCCTTCTCCACAACTAAGACCGTTCTCGTCACTGCCAGCGCGAATCGTTCAATTCCAGACAGCCAGTACCACTAGTTCACTGCCAGCCTTCCTTCATTTTGCTCGTACGCAACTGCGTAATGCAACTCATAGAGACCTGCTTCGTTCCCGGTATAATTCTTCCCGTCGCCCACCCCGCAGGCCAAACTGGCTAGACTCAATAAACGGAAACGTCATATTCGTGGCCGTCATTGCAATAAACGCTGGCGTCTTTCTTCTCTGGCAAGGTGCCAAGTCCACATACGTTCGTAGGCGCTACGCTTTCATTAAGACTAAAGTATAGGGTGCAGCTGACACCCATCCACAGCAAACCACTCGTGACCCCACACTCTGGATATTCCTTCGGAACAACTTTTTAGTGAATTGGGAGAACATCACCTCCGGTCGCGTGTGCGTCTGACTCTTATTGCGCGTTGCTTCGGATATTACCTGATTCATCTGGCAGGTGGACGCTCATCACCTCGTGTTTCTCCCATCAAGACATAGAGCACATATTGTTCAATGGCCTTTCATTCTACTTCATGGCCCCTGGCGTCATGCAAGTCCTCGGGAACTCGCGTTTCTTGGGGCTCTACTTTCTCGGTATTCCTCCACTTTTCACTCACGGAATGCCACTAACGAAAAATACCAGGCGGCATCGCATCCAGCGTGACGAGTCTCGTATGGAACCGTTTCTACAAGCGTGAATCCAACTACTCTTCACACGGCGCAAGTGGTCCGTCCATCTCCTCACCCCTTCATTCACATCCACCTTCATCCACTGAAACGTTGTGTAGGCGCAATATTAGCAACCATCGCGTTTTACGCCTGTGCATTTCCCAGAACGAGGTTTTTAATATTCTTCGTCATCCCTTGTCCTGCGTGGGCGTTCCTTCCCGGGATCCTCGCGTTTGATGTGTATAGGAGTGTTACAGATGCTGTGAGTTGATTTCGTAATTCGTCGCGCTATCTGGTCAATTGAATTGATCGATCTCGCAGAGAACGACAACGGATACGGCAGGTCATGTTGGTGGAATGCTGTCAGGCATAAGTTTCTTCTTATGGAGAGTGGCTCTTCGTCGCTAGACTTGCCAAATCCTGCTGCGATGGCATTTATCATGCCAACTACCTACACTCAATCAGAAGAATGGGATCCATTACGCAGCATATGAGGTGTAATGTAGACAGGACCGGCGTTGCAAGTGCGAAATAGAGAAAAAAAAAAGAACGTGATATATATACTACAAACCAAACAGCATAAAAAATGGCGATGGTGAAAAGAAACAGACATATTAACGAGCATGGTAGCTCTGAAACACATCCATATTAGTCGGTGAACATGAGCATATCATGGAATACCGTGAGCAATGAGCGCTTGAGCATTCACTCTGATGCACGGCCTTTCTCTCTCTGCGGGGTATTCATCAACTTGTCCAACCTCCCCATCTGACCCTCTAGCTTCGTTATTCCAACACCGTTGCCATCTACGCCAAGGTCCCTCGCATTGTGCTTATCGAAGTAATACGTGAGTAAGTTCTTCTTGTTATCATCGAGCCCGTCGAGCAACGCGAAGAGATGAGTCTCGTCTCGGAGCACGAGCTGCGCAGCTATGATAGTAGCGTACGCGGCTTCGCGAATGACGAGAGTAGTGTCGTTTAGCGCTGCCATTAAGGTAGATTTTAAGCGCGGAAGCTCCTCCTCAAGAACTTCAGCGGGCAAGCGCATGACGAATTTACCCATAGCAATTAGTCCAAAAGCATGGGATGCGTGTTTGGCACTCATATCTGACGAAGGTTCGGCTAGAAACGCACGCAGGCTGCCGTGCATCGTAGTTAGACCGTAAACAGGTTCGATCCGTGTTGCGAGGGCATCACGGATTGTTTTAGTTGCTTCAAGAACCTGGAACTGTCGTGAGCATAGAGTACACCAGCAAGGGATAGGAATTACATCAACAGCATTACAGTACCGCACAGTAAACAAAGTCGCGAATATGTCGGCTTCCCGACCTTCCACAAATGGTGCTTGGCAGCTTAGCAATTCCCAGAGCACTATGAGGCCGTATTCAAGTTGCTCTGCATCCTATTCAAATACGTCAAATGAGTAATCAATGGCACCAACAAAAAGTAAACTAGCGCACCCTTAAAGGATCAAGAAACTTAATTAGAGCATTGAATAGCCGTTCAAAGCTCTTTTCCTTGGTCCATATGTCAGGGATCAGTGGAGGAAGAGAGCGACTGATGCCAAGGAAAGGCGAAACCGTGGAAGGAAGTCCCAGTCCTGGACTCAGGGGAGACGTAGTTGCGGAAGGTATAGGATTGCTGCTGCACAATAACGCTAACTTTTGGAGAACCCGAATGTCAATTTGATCGCTCTCCAGTGCGGTAATATAGTCGTTAAGTTCTTGTACTCGATCTTCAAATGCAGTTGCTTTGAGGGGTGTGGCATGTCCGAGGGCTACGTGGATAAAACCAAAATCAGAAAACAGCAAGGATTTGTAACTAATGACAACTCACTGGACGTGCGTTTCAACCACCAACTAGTCTCATGTACCTGGTCTTGAACTGGCTTCACGAGGTTGTCTACAGCTTTGATGTTTGCGGGACTATTCTTGAATAACGCTGCCTGGCGGAAGATAGCTGCGGTTCGATTGTCCGGAGTCACAGGAGGAGGAGCCAGGCTTCGTATTATCGCTGGTGCATTTTGCGCCTTGGATTTTGGCGTCGCAGATCCGCTACGTCCAAGGAGTAGCGACGGAGGAATTGTGGAGTGCTGGTTATCCTCACCATCCGGGTCGTTCAGCTCGAGCAATCGTTCCGCAGCACTCTGTGCTTGCTCTGCTCGAGCTATAAGAGCGTCTTCAACAAGTGCTGTCTCTGAAGGTTTTCCATTTGATAATACATCAGAACTAGTATAAGGCGTTGAACGATCGGAGCGGGGAGAGAATGAGCGTTGCTGACTGGGTGCCGGAGGATACACCTTGTAGGGAGTCGAGAAAGACATGAGATTGACAGACTCATCGTCCATCTCAGAATCACAGTCATCAGGTATGGGTATAATGGTCGCCAGTAAGAGCGTCTGATCATCGTTAATATCGGGCATTACAGTTGACTGACGAGCTGGGACTGGAACTGGAACTGGAGGTGCATGATACCGAGGGGTTGGTGAGTCGTGATAGGAATCCGAAAGGTTTGGCTGCACAGTTTTACGGGTGGTAGATAAACGGCTAGGAGATATGGGTGGGACAAGGGGAGAAGATCCTCGACGTCGATTTGTTTCGGGGCTGGATGACACCGATGAATCGGTGGAGGAACGTGAATGTGACGTCAGGACCGCGCTAGAGCTTACAGAACGAGGCATAGCACCACCCAGGACACGTGATTTCGATGGTGTAAGGGGGGAAAGGGATGAACGAGGGGACAGTGAGGACCTCGAAGCTGGCGATGGCGAGCTGCGTCCATTCGAGAGTTTAGCCGTAGGGCTTATTGGCGACACCACTCTCCGTGCTGTAGGTGATGTTGCGCGTGTTGCGTGTGATGAGGACGTCGCTTGATGCCTCAGGGTAGGGGGCGCAGTTGCAATGGCTTTGGCCTTGGCACGACTGGCAGCAATCGCAGCTGCAACGCTGCTCTTCTTTACATTTGGTGTGTTTGGTGTGGTGGAAGGAAGACTGGCAATCACTTCAGGGTCTGGGCATGCCTTCTCCAGCTGCTTGCGTGCTGTGGGGTCGAGAGACTCAAGAATTCCAGCTGCCCTATCATGCCAGACACTGTTGAATGCCCAAAACGCATTGCGGGCTGTTTCCTTGACAGCAGGATTGGGATCAGCCAACGCTTTCTTCAAGGACTTCTCGAGGATCTCCACACCACCATTAGCTTCTATATGCGATCTTGCCCGTGTCCCATGTAGCTGGATATAGTGGGTGATGTGGGATACTACGAATGTTCGAGATTGCACCGTCTTTTCTTGGAGAGTGTTCCAAAGGAGTGAAAGAAGAACCCGAGGATGTGCTGAAGCATGCTCCATTATAACGGAGAGCGATCGCTGGGACTGTTGAGCAGTAATTTTCTTGGTAAATCCTGCCATTCGGAGCAAATTCGTGTACAACATTTCACAAAACGGATCGATCCCTTGACCCAACGCAATGGCAAGCTCGGAATAAAGGGAGCAAGTGTTTGCAGAAACCGTTGTCCGTAAACTGACGAGCTGAAACAAAGGAGAGTTGCGTGTAAGACGTCTTTGATAAGTTCCAAATGCTTACTGTTTTTATGGAAGACTGCATGAATCCGTCTTTTAGGCATTGAAGGAATACATCGGGATATCTTGTATGGATATTTCCGGAGAGCATACCGCGGACGCGTTGAATGGCGCGTTCGCGGGCAGCCCAGTTGTGTTCTGTTTCCTTCCCCTATGTCGCAAGTTAAGAAGGCTGGGCAAGTATTCAAGGGTGTTGACAATACCTCGAATGATTTTGCAAATGCTAGAAATTCGTTTTCCAGATCTCGGCTAGATGCAACCTATAATTGTTGCTTAGATAAATCTCGGCGAGGCGGGGTGGCAGAACATACAAAAGCAGGTTCAACCGTACTAGCTGCTTCGCTTGACGGTTGTGATGACAAAGGCGGAGAGACAACTGCAGCTCGACTTGGTGGCCTCGGAATCTCTCTCACATTTCCTTGACTTACTGCCCTCGTGATACCGGGCGTAGCTCCAGATGCCGCGCCAACCGTTGGACGGCGACCCTGTTGCAGCATCATGCTTGGAGGAATGTACTCCTTCTTTGGCTCTCCACTGCCCGCGGAACCCTCGCTCTGGGGCGTGCTTGTTCCAGCAGCACGACTGGAATGCATGAGCTGTGATTGAATATTCTCAACCATCGCTTTGCGTACCCCCTTCTTTGTCAGCTCTTTCTTGAGGTCTGAGCGAGCAGCATCCGTCACGCCCGGCCCAGTGAAGAGCTCAATAACGGAAGGCGATGCGCATGCGCGAACATTACCATCCGTGTCTTCCAACGTGTCTACTAGTAATGAAACGTATGGTCGAACAGGAAAAAGATGGTGGGTTCGGCGGATGTGCACGAGGACTAGTAATGACTACGGTAGAGAGTGAGAAGTCGTCACACCAGCTCGGAAGGTCCCACTTACTTGTTCTCGGACTCTGGCAACCTTGCTTCCAAAGCCGCTATCTCTGAGGAAACGTTCGAATATTGTAAGTGGCGTTTCTGGACCCCCCTTGCTATCCTTCATCTTTGAACCAGATGGAGCCCTGAATGCCAGTCCGCCGAGGATAACCAGTGTTTCACGCGCCTTATCACGAGCCTTTTCGCGGGTATCACCGAGACGCTCAATGACGCCAGGAGCGGGAAGAAACGCATTCATAATGTGGCGGAGAACCATCAAGTCATGAGACGTTCCGGGAGTGGACGACGTGGAAGATGATGCTGATAATGGGCGCGCGTTTGCGTTTGGGACAACATTGTTGCGCGAAACGATCAAGGGGAATAGAGGAGGAAGGGCAGAGAGCGTCGCGGTCGTTAGATGTTGATTTGAGATACGAAGACATGCTTTGAGGGTAGAGATGACTGGTTCTGGTTCTGTGATCTAAATACAACCAGTTAACGAGGCTCAGTTCATTGACCAGGCAACCGACACGTACTTCTATGCCCGACTCGAACTCTGCTTGCAGTTTTGTAACGGCATCAACCTTTTGGTCAACGTCTGTGGACACTGTGAGTTCTGATGGTTGTTCCCAGGGGATACTACCAACCGTTGCTTTTGCATTGATTAATGAGTTTTTCGAGCCTCTCGGTGCTCATGATTGTTTGAGAGGAAGAGAAAACGCGATGGGCGCGAATTGAATCAAGGTTAGCAAGTCCCAAAGGTTTACTGCCGTCCGAGTTCGCGGGTGTGGCGGAGAACAAAGTGAAGCACTTCTAAGTTCTCGCGACGGACACTTATGCAACAAACCCGATTCTCACTATAAGTATCATACATGCTCTTATCGTGACGTAGTAGGCAACGTTTTTTATTCACAATCTGCTTCGAATAATTCCAGCAGGGCTTGACCAGGGCACCAATTGGACACGTCATTCGCTCTTTTTATCAGAATGACCTAAAGATTTTCCAGGTTGTACGTAGTCGCGTATACGCTGCTTCTGATAGGGCATCAATTAGATCTCATCGCATCGACTGCCAGAACAAGTCGAACTAACCAAACCTTTCAGTTCAGGAAAACCACCCTCGATCTTCCTGTCCCACATCAATTGAGGGGGACTGCCTTCGAGGTTAAGCCAGACCCTAAAACGACCTCCAGTTTCCTCAGAGTTCAGAGGAATGATTGATATCGCCTTCAAGACTGGAGGCGGAAATGTAAGGAATAGCTCTGTGGAAACCCAGGTCGCTCGATGGAGCCTACAAACAATGGATGAAATTGAAAGTTAGCAGTATTCATCCCCCTTACCATCGACACTGGATAGCAGATGATACATCAATCACAGTAAGCTGTTACAACAAGCACTGCTGCGTACTCGGTCGCAGAATTCTATGATAATGCTGGGTGACATCAGTGGAGCCGGTGGAATGAAAGTCGACGAGTTGAGAGCAGGATTTCCTTTGGCCTGCTCTACATTATCTTGCTCACTAGGCATCGGACAGTATACGCCAGCCGATTCTGCCATCTTGGCCGAATGATAGAATTGATGTCGACAGCAACCACTGATAAGTAGGTCACGTGAATATGCGATCGTTGTTGACGCGTTGTTTGTTCCGAGTCTACTATCGCGTCTACCATCATCATCCTTAGAATGTCACCAACCTCAAAAATGGTGATCGACAGTAGTAAGGACGCGATATCGACATCGCACTCAGACATGGACAAGAGCAAATTAGATGTAATATGGACCGTGCACGGTAAGTCTCAGTTACAAGTAAAATTACATCAAACATCTGATCGCGACGCATATATAGTCGAAGTCCGACTCTCGACAAAATCTAGACGACGCGTAGATATTATCCAAGGTCTCGTCCGAGACTTTATTACCCAGAACTACGATCCCATCACGCTCCCATCTATCCTCAATGGATGGGAAGGAGACCCGACCCTTGCTTCATCGGTAGAACGAATCGCAATATCAGAATCACCATGTCCATTAAAGTTATTACGCCTCAAAGAGGTGTCACTGGAAATTCACGCTTACCAACCACATGAAACCGATGCAGTCGAAGAATATGCTAATGGAACACCAGGCAGAGGTGGTGAGGAGAACGTGCTCGCTGCGAGCGTGTGCGAACTCCCATGCAAGGCATGGGAGGGGTTGTGGGATGGCTTGATATATGCGGATAACATCAAGCTGAAACTACTTGATTATATTCACGCAACTTTTGTTCTGAGTGATGCTGATGTTGACTGTGGGTGAGGCAATTAGGCGTGACCGTGATGTATGCTGACCCTATTTCAGTTAACCTGGTGACATGGAACCGTGTGGTCCTGTTACATGGCCCTCCAGGGACAGGCAAGACGTCGTTATGTCGGGCACTAGCTCAAAAATTATCCATACGATTATCTCATCGGTAAGTCCAATATATGCGCTTTCCATCTACTTCACGAACTTCACATTCCTCGTAACAAACAGATACTCTCAGTCACGCCTGCTAGAGATCAACTCTCACTCCCTGTTTTCCCGTTGGTTCTCGGAGTCAGGAAAACTTGTACAGCGTCTGTTCAGCAACATCATGGAAATGGTAGAAGATGAAGACTGCTTCGTGGTTGTGCTGATAGGTAAATCTGGCACGCGTATAGACCGTTGTGTTACCCACTTATAGCGCTTTAGATGAAGTAGAATCCCTTACCGCAGCCAGAGCTGGCGCCATGGCGGGCACAGAACCATCAGACGGCTTGAGGGTGCGTCTGCAAGTGTCTCATGATGTGTGTTCCTTACGAATTGTATAGGTGGTCAATGCTCTCCTCACGCAACTGGACAAGCTCAGGTATCAGAAGAACGTCCTAGTGATGTCCACGAGTAACCTCGCAAAAGCCATAGGTAAGGATGCGGGAGGACCATGCATACGGAATGTCTGATTACCTCTCGAAGATTCGGCTTTCGTTGATCGAGCAGATATCATCCAATACGTCGACTTACCTCCACGCGAAGCCATCTATGAGATTCTTCGTAGTTCCCTGTGCGAATTCATCAAAAAAGGAATACTACAGGAGACAGTGAGCTGACCATGAACCTGATCTCGTTATTGATCTTCTTGTTGATGGTACCTCTTAGACAGTACCAACCCTTGACCGAGCGCTGTACATTGAAAGCAGCAACAGGAATCACTCTAGCGCAAGTGGTACCATACTGCCTTATTCACCAGAAAACCTTGCATCTACTCTACTGGCTCTTGCTGATAAATGCAGAGTAGGTCCAATCATTCTCCCTCCTGTCCATGGCTCAGGAGCTCCCGCAGGCACAGCAACTTTCAGGACGTGCCCTTCGGCGTTTGCCTGTTCTTGCACTTGCGAGGTACATTGGCATTGGTGTTAGTACATCATCGACCACCAGTAATCTCAACAACTCGCGATTTCAAACTAACATACGCTTATGGCTGGAGGCGATGGAGAAAGTCCTCGATGATCGAGCTGCAGATCACAAAAAACTTTTGTAGTCGACACCGCATCCTCACGTTTTGCATCACATTGTTGTCTTCTTGGACTCTGCCCCATATCTCAACGTGTATGATACCTCCACCCGCAATCAACCCACGTGTATCAACGCTATTCAAGTTGCAGTGAAACCGCGTGAATTTAGTACCCTGAGAATGCTGCACAAAAGGTGGTATAGATGAGATGACCAGACGGTGACGACACCAGACAGGCATTGCTTGGTCAAATCAACTCATCGATGACGGGTCGACTAAAGACATACAATCAGTCACATTAAGAGGTCATCCCATAAAAACACCTACAAAACTGCAGGGGCTGGGGCCTGGGTGCTCTGAATCCTTTATATCCTGCAACCCACCCGTTCCGCATAATTCGACCACCATGATCTCCTGAAAGACCTGTCTTTCCTTGCTTGAAGTTCACGATCCTCATCCATGCATTCCTTGGCACAATTACCCGAGCATTGTTGCTGAGCAAATAAATATTCTTCCCAGCCCATACCCGTCTGCCAAGTCGCTCCTTCACCCGTTGCGTCACCCGACTGAATGCGACTTCATAGTGGTTCTCGTACCACGTCACGAGTTCGTCTAGATTTTTCTGGAGGATGTTTAGGTGGAGGTTTATATCAAATATTTTCTCCCGTGGGTGGAATTCTGGGGCCGTGGAAGGTGTGTCGAGGTCGACATCTAGAGCTGTCGAGACGTCTGGTGGAGAGGAGCTGGAAGAACTACAGGAAGTTGGTTCTGAAGGAGATAGAGGAGGAGGGAGGCTGTCGCGTAGCTCAGAGTACCACGCGATATCGTTTTTCTTCCTCCGTATGGTCTGTCTCGTAACCCATCCAACCCATCGCATCAACTCTATATTCTTGTCTCTGTTAGCCTCTCCAAAAACAGGTATTATGGTGCCCCGGTTAAGGCTGAAGTGCGGTGCAAGCGTGCCATGGGGATCACGATACAGCTGACTCCGTAGAAGACGGTCGACCGAACGATCCAGGCGCACAGCTTGGTAGAGGTAATGTCGCGCAAAGGTGGCATGGCCTGCGCGCGAGATATGCTTCAGTAAGATATTGTACGAAGTAGTATTAGGTCGGGCGTGGGGTGTTAGGTGTGGCTCGGTCGACGCGGGGTTTGCGATTCCAAAGTCATCCTCATCATCGAACTCTTGTGAATAGTGCTGGCTGGCTTGTGGTGGAAGGGGTTGGGTGAGGACCTCGAAAGTTTGGACGAGTTTGGCTACATTGCCGAGGCGACCGAGCATGTCAAGGGTAGTATTGAGAGCGGCGGTGGAAAAAGGTGACAACATGCTGGAGCCTTGTAATGGAGGGTGGTCTGGATAATCCAAGTCTATACCATAGCCCAGCTTCATGAGCTGAAAGAAGCCCTCCTGATCTAACACCTCCTTCAAGATACGTATCACCAAGTCAAGGTTGAAAGATGTTAAAGGCATATCCCGAGCTGACATTTCCTTGAGCAGCTTCCGGCAAAGCTTGCTCGCATCAGCAAGCATGTCCTCGCGGTGCACCTTATATATTGGCAGAGACAAACGATGTGCGATTGCTTTGAGGCATAGGCCGAAGGTTTTCGCTTCAGGGTCCAGTTTGCAGACGTGCGTGAGTTCTGTGAGTACTTGCATTGCACCGGTATAGTGACCCACAGCGGCGAACTGATGCAGGACGACATGGTAGTCGTCAAGAGTGGCATCTGCGCCTGTTGCTCGGATATTACGCATGACGGTCTTGAGACGGGCCTCAAAATGGTGAGGGATGCGAGAAGCTTGGCCTGCTTGCATGCGACGTGCTGTCCATGCTCTCAAGGTATACGCGCCCGGGACGCAACGTCGAAGAACTGCTTGATGAACTTCCAGAGGAAGATCGTCACATTCCGCATAGTTCATGAAATCGACATAGCATGACCATACTCTGGAATAACTCCGTGTCTCGCACGAGAGGACCTCCATAAGAGCAGAAAGCTTTTCCTTTTGGATGATGTCCTTGGAATTCTTTTGTGAAGCAACGGTTGTGCTTGGGCCGGAATATGCATCATGCACTATATGAAGCGGAAGGGTTATAGCGGAGGAGCAGCGAACAGATGTATGAACAAGTCGACATAGGGAATGGATTTGGGTTGTAGCGGAAAAGCAGACTTTGGAAAGCTGCCTCCGCATGGAACAGTAATTAGTCTGGCGCCAGGACTGGCCAGAAGTATCCGAAGCCTCTTGCAAATGCTAGCAGTGCGCAAATTCGCTTGAACTGACTCCGACGAAAAATGTGCTAACTTCCTTTCTAGGAATTACAAGTTTCCTCACAGATCTAAGCTAGTATAAGTGCATCACTTCTCGAGATCTCAGTAGTTGTACATGCTGATATCAGTATTATGCGCGCTTTGACCATCCTGCGCTCTTCAGGCATGATCCACATTGTACATGTGCAATCCTCGCGTTATAAATTGCTGTATCTCAACCAACCACGGACATAATTACACTATTCACTCCGTGTTGCTGCACGGTCGATTTTCTCGTGCACAATCTACGATGCATTGGCGACAAAGGGGTGTTACTATTGACGGATAGCTTCAAGAATTTCCATCGATGTCACGCTGTTACCACGAATAACCTGCAAAGATGGAAATAAGATGTTGCCCGCAAGCAGCATTTTGGGGCGTACCACAGTTCCAATGGGATGTTTCTGAGCCGGGGTCGACTCTTCCAGAGCATCGTCGATGACGAGGTTCAGAAAGAGGTCGTAGCCACGCAGAACACCGCTGACTTTGCGGCCACCCTGCAGATGGACGAACAACTTCTTGTCCATAAACTGTAGTCAAGTTATTTAGCATACAAAGGCAGGACTTGAATAGAAGTCTACCTTCTTAAGTTCTGGTTGTGATGCCTTGGACATGATTATTTACAGATGATAAGTCACTGTCAGGGTCGCTGAGCTCGAGCAGGTTTGTTGCTTTGCAGTGTTTGGTTCAACACTAATACTAAATCCAGAGCCTAGCTCCATAACGCCCTTGCAAGCCCTTTTTGTTGGCTGGCCGTATATTGCAATCTATCTGCTGCTCTATATAAAATCTGACTGGGCGTACCCTTCCTCCAAATCAACCCGAGCAAGATCCATTTGTTGGCGTTTGTCGCTTTCATTCAGCTGCTGAACGCTGCTTAGACCATATAACAGGCTGGCTAACCCATAAAGTTTTCATCGCCAAATCGTTGTTTATCGAAGACGGTTCATGGCGAGCCCCACCAGCCGAACTCCCCCAACCAGTGCAAACCCTTCTACCCAGCCCCAATCTCGGCCGCGAGATTGGAATAAGCTGCGAGGTGGAGAGGCAGGATCTACTTTTCGCGGTTCAGGGAGGGGCAGAGGTGCTCGTGGTGGTAGTGGAAGGGGTGGTGGTCGCCCTCCAAACAGCCCAGTAATCAGAGGCAGTAGCAAGCTTTCACACACAGAACCCCCGGAGAGCCACGGTTCCCTCCCAGACGTGTCCACGCCTAAGGCCGGGCCTTCACCAGCTCGTAAGGGTTTTTCCCAGTCGGAAGCTACTAGTGCAACTTCGGAAAAATTTGTTCCCAGTCCAGCTGACCGTACTCCAAAGCCGAAAACGCGTACTTCTCGCGGTGTTCCAGTTGTGACTGTAGCTCCAGTTTCTCCGGCTCCAGATTCCGTGCACAACGTGCCTTCCACACCAAGTCGTCATAATGCTAGCCGACGTCGACGCACTAACACCAGCCAGCCTGCCAAGCCTTCCGTAAACGGTGCTACTAAGCCAAGTATACCATCGTCCACTTCACTACGTCCACAGAAGCCAAGGGCAGCATCTTCTACTTCATCCTCTATCGCACCACATAAAGAAATCCCTCTCCATCCGGCAGCTGTACACGAGGCTGAAATTCGTCACGATATTGACGCATTGGTCGAACGTGTCAGGGCAGTTGCAATGGCTGAAAATAGGCCTTCAACTCCTGGGAGCCATATCGATTGGGCTGGTGAAGAGGATGACTCGTTGCCCGACCTTGATGATTGGGGTGTTACGACGACTCGGAACAATACCAGCGCAGATGAAATAAGTGATAAGATATCACCCATATTGACAGATGCGCTCAAGCCGCTGCCAGAACCTCAGACGGAAGAAGATGATGCTGAAGATGAGGAAGATGAGCATAACATGGAACCTTTAGGCAATGATATTGATGGCGAAATCACCAAGGACTCGTCAGATTCCTCATCCCTATCTAATACACCTGATACCATTGTCACGGCCACCGCAGATGCGCATGACTCTCCCGTCGCCGTTGTCGCGCCCGAAGCTATCACGCATACTGATAAACCCTCGCTTCACCCGTCCAAGCCCGTTGTTGCAAGGGTCAGCCTGTATGCAAGCTCTGCACACTCCAACTTGATATCCAAATCAACGTTAATCGTAGATGGTGAAGAGTCACCTGCAACCAAGGAGGGAGGCCTTTCACAGTCTATCCACGCTCCCTCCCTTGCCGAGACAGAAGTACTAGAAAAGACTCTCAGCTCTTCTTCCAGCGACCACGGCCTCGCTGGATCCATCCATGCGCCTAAAGGCCTCCCGGATTCCCACTCCGCTCCATCGTTGCTAAGCCCGGGTACCCCGTCTCCTGCGCGCACATATAGTCCCTCGCATGGTCGATCAAAGACAGAAGGCCGCCCCGCCTTTCCACATCCCCGCACGGCGGCGATAAATCAGCGAGCCATTCGTTCTGGTACATCTTCGCCACTAGGCCCGCTTGTTCACGCGCATGTGCGGAACCATTCGACACCTCCTGGAGGGGCGGGGCAGCGTGCCCCACATAGTACTCGACCTATCATCACTGGAGATGCACTATCCCGGCTGGCAAGAACGATTGGCGGTATACCAGGCATGCCCCGTTCCCAAGGTGTCGCCGTCGCAAAAGACTAAATGTTTCCACTATCCCCACCCATTATGTTACGAATGCTCCATCTCTTGCCCTGGTCTACGTGGTATATATATATTTGCTCATCGACAATTGTACTTTCCGGTTTCTTGGTTGCACGTCGACCTCTCTGTTTCGCGGTTCTGTTGGATAATAAAAACTGCAACTAACTCTGTCTGCACATATAATCACTACATACCCTTCTACGCTCTTCGCTCTACGATTCGCTGCTCCGTTCTCATACCTGTACTGATCTCGGGTGTATGTACAATACCTTACACGCAATTATTGACTGGTGCTGAGCGCTCAACTCTCAAAGGTTCCTGTCAGTCTAAGATATGTGCATGCAGGGAACTCTAGATCAACCAGCGCTGAAATATGATAACTCCAGTCCTATGGCCTTTATTGGTTTTGACCTACTGGAGAGATCCGACACGAAACCCAAGCTAACCAGCATCTGCTTCAGGCGACCTTCCCACATCAATGAGACATTCTGAATGCATTGGGCGATGAGCAACCTCGGCATATCATAACACAATACAACTCACGTTGTTGGTCGAAATCCTCGCCTTCACCACTCCATGGATATCGGAAGGAATATCAAGAGACTCGGCCTGTGGAACGGGAACCGGTGGTTGCTCTGGAGGAACGAGTGACGGCTCGAGCTCATCTTCATGCTTCGAGGCAGCTCGTCGCATCCACCATTCAGCACCCATCGTCCACTCGCTATCATAACTGTAGACGTTGAAATCGAACCGAGAGCACATCGAGAGGTCACGCGATACACGCGCAGCATAAGCTGTGGATATGTGTCCCATCATCGGGTTGAAAAGAGCGGTGATAGTCGTCGGTGGTTGAGATGGGGGCAACCGAGAGGATTGGGCGAGTGGTGATGATGACGATGGTTGTGGGAATTGGAAAGATGGCGGGGTTGCATCGGGGAGAGTTGTGAAACGAATTCCTGTGGATACTAGAAGTGGATTATCAGCGACTGGGCATGACTAGATCGATTCGTCTTACCTCCAGCACTCCTCTCTTTTGCGCTGATGTAGAACTCTGCACCAGCAGAAACTCTGCCCTTCAGACCGCCGCCGGTTGCCTCTTCTTCGTCAACACGTTTAGGTCTTGTCCCAGGGGGCGAGGTCAAATCCTCAGGAGGCTCGGTTGGATTTCTGAGCCTGCCAAAGTTGTGTAAGACGCGCACGCCCAACATCCCGTCTTCTGCGCTGTACGTATATTCAGAGCACCACTTTCCGATGTCATGCTGTAGGCTGAACATGACGTTGCTGACATTGTCGCCTCGAGACCGCTTCTCGGAAGAGAGAGTGGACCGTGGATCTGATATGGCTGCGACAAGTGCCTGTAGAGTGGGGGATAAGCGCGTGGAATAGAGCGCATCGAGTCTACCAGTAGGCAGGTACAATCGGCCATAGAGCAAATAGTCTAAATCCTGCGCGTCAACACTTCGAAACGACCCTACTCGGAAGACGTACCACGTGTGTCAGCGCGCTCTCCAGCTAACCATTCTTCCTCCTTGCCTTCTGGCCTGCGAGGCTGGTCGTATACCTTGAAACGCTCGACCATGTCCTTGAAACGGACACTACCGGAGTTCTTCACGTCGAGGGTGCACGATGTAAATATATAGCCCACTGAGCCGTTGAGCGACGGCATAGCGTTCATGGAATATGAAGTATTGAAGAGTCCATTAGGAGCTTTGGATATGGATAGATGCAACCCACGGGGGACGCTGAAGTCCAGTATAGCTAGTTATTCGGTACATGTGCTTCAGCCCAGACTAATACCACAGTTCCTGAAGAGCGTACCGTTAGAAGAACGGGTCAAGTTAGCGTACAAATTGTCTTCATTCCATCCTGTTGCACGGTAATAACTTCGCAGCACATAGGATGCGAATGGGTGCATCTCTAAGGCTGGATTACGTAAATGATATGGGACCTCAGGCGGCAGTTCTCGGTACTATTAAAAGTCTGTCAGACCCTATTTTTATGTTAGGATTAACCCAGCCCTCGCTGATGTTCTCATTATAGCACGCCTTCCTTCTCCCAGAATTCTCCTGCAGCGCCTCCCCCGAGCCTCGTAGCCCTCTCCTGACCCTCTGGATATTCCGTACATCATCTGCGATGCCTCACCGACCTTGCCAGCATTCCCGTCCCAGGACTACTTATGGTTACATCTTCAAGGCTACAAACCTGATTCACTAGTATTGACGTCACTACTCAATATTACTTGGTGCTCAGGCTGTCCTTGTCTTGACTGAGTCCTGTCTTTCCACCATGACAGCTCCCAGCTTATACTCAACACGCTCGCACTGCGACTATTTGCACTGTTGTTCGCTTTGTTATCCTCGCCTTCGCTCGCGTGGCCCGTGTCTTCATTTGTTTTTACCTAGGATTGGGATAGTTGGTTTGGGTGCGTCTATCCAGGTTTCTTTACTAACTGATGCCACCGTCACTTCAGTCTCACGCCTCGAGTCGCAAGTCCTTGTGCTCAAACATCCATCATTCATCCGCCATCCTGCTCACGAGGTTAGCTTCCACCTTCCAATGCTACCCATCCGCAACGTAGCTGATTGAGGTGCCACCTGCTGCAATTGCTTGCATTTTATTGAGAACGATCACTTCACCATCTACAGAGGCCGTGGAATTGGGCCAGGGATGCATTGGATAATATTACATGGGAGGGTACAGCTGAGAAGGCGAGACGCCACACTTACAGCTCTACTTGAGACGATGGAAATTGAACAGTGAGATATGCGGTTCAACAGCATGGACGACAGCAATATGGATGTAGCGAAATATAGCAATGTTTGTCTTTATCCAAGGAAAGTAAGGATATCTCTCGTCGAAGGTCTCTTCTCAGGGGCTGACCAGCAACCCTTGACCAACTCCCATAGACGGTCATCCAAACCCCTTTCGGTGGCCGCAGGATCACTAGGACGTGGAGGCATCTCCCCCCTAGAAAGTTTGATGATAACATGTGTTGTGTGGCGGATGTTGTACCATGGTACTTGATGGGTCATAATCTAAGAATACCATGAGATATGTAAATTGTTCTCGAATGAAATTCTAACTTACCTCGAGTATAGTCATGCCGTATGCGAATATGTCAGATTGGGTGGTAAGCATGCCGCCGTCACAGCAGAGTTCTGGTGCAAGCCATCTCTGGGAATTTGAAACCCTGAATCGAATTGGGTCAGTACTTCGCAAATCATCGCATTATCGATCTCGGTACCCAGCAGACATCGTAAAATTTACACCAGTGACATCTTCCAAGACCTGATTTCACATATCAGTGATGTGGTTAATCAACTATTCGAGTGTGATGCTACCTTGGCAAAGCCGAAATCGGCCAGCAGGGGGTTCCCGTTGGCATCGACAACGATGTTGGACTAGTAGCACGATCACGTCAGGCCCTCAAAGTGTAGATAAAAGCTACGCACCGCTTTGAGGTCACCGTGCACGATCGGGGGTGTCATGCTGTGCAGGACATCCACACCCTCGCAGATGCCTTTAATCTGGAACGAGTCAACATCATATCAAACATTCTCAGAAGACTTGTACATACCAGAGCATAATGATCTACGGTGGAGTACTTTTTTATATACTCATCCACTGTACCATTGACCATCCATGGACTTACGACATACCTGATCGAATGACATGGTAAGAGGAGTGAGCAATCATTCGAGCAGAAGGGCTTACGGGAAAGGCCCGTCATTTTGACAGAAACCATAGAAAGGGAGGATGTGCTCTCCGCGGTCGGCTTCCCACACACGTTTCCAGATTTCCACCTCTCTCTTGAACCTCTAGAATATGATGTGAGGATGACATTTCGAGCAGAGGGGAGTGATAATGTACCCGAAGCGTTTGAGGCTCGCAGTGAACAGCCCGTAGGATTTTGATGGCCACCTTTTCCTCATTCAAATAGAGGCCTTCCCATATATCTGCTGATCCCGTTCCCTTGACAGCATATTGCCCGATGCGTTTCACTTCATTGCGTTTAAGGTTCATGTTCGGTAAAAGTGACTGAGACGAATGTTGTATGTGGTACAGGTTGCTTTCCAGACCACGATCTGTGGTTGGAATTTGACCCGGAAGATTCTGCATAACGATGAGTTCATCAAAACTAGTTAAGCAGTGAGTTGAAGTGACCCTTTGCATCAATTTCATGATCTGATTCAGATCTTCAGCCTGCTTCATCTGTGCGACTTGCATGAGCTCCTGCTGGTTCCTGATGTCTCCCAGATACTGCACGATGTCTTCCTTGTCTCGTGTACGGCTCAACTCAAAGTTTGTCTGCCATGCATGAATGGATATGTGAGAGGCGATCTGAAGAGGTGTTAGGACAATTTGGCTAGAGCACGCTTCTGTACCTGTAATTTGACCAAGCAATCTGAAATATCTGCGTGACATTGCTGGATGGTACCAGCCAGCTCGTCTTGTTTGACGAACAGCTTGACCCTGGACATGGAGCACCACGGCTCCATTCTGTCCAGAATACTTCGAAGGGTACTGATAAGCAGATCAGTTAATTGATCGGAGGTCAAGTCAGACCACTAACTGGTGGGCACCCGAGCACAACCTATCCTGATGATCCGGGGTTAAATTCTGCCCCTCGTTGTGGATGACAGACATGAGACTCAAGCAGCGATCTTGGAGTAGAACGATCCCATTTCTGCGACAAGCTGTTCAGTACTCGGATCGATGGACCATCGAATATATCACACACTTATTGGCTTCTGCTGTTGCGAGCATGTTGATCAATGCGACCAATACGCCCGCAGCCGGTGCGAGCCATGGTACTGGAGCAAATTGAGCAGCTGTCTGTGCTGCACCTATGATCGTCCGAGCTGCTATATTGGCCATTAATAAAGATATGGCTTAGGATGTGAGAGTGTCACTTGTAGAAGTTGAGGAAGAGAAGTTGAGGAGGCGCAACCTGCATGATCGCAAGTTGATCGTGAGTTTATATATTCAAGTTGCTGTGTCACGGTGATGTGGAATCTGAATTAGCGCTCATGCACATGACGTTCGATTTTTGCGGAAAGATCCTCCACCTAGCTACGGATATCAGAATATAAGAACAATCAGAACTGTGGGCCTGGAAATTCTTTAGCTTCCAGGGACCCATAATCACCTCGAGCTTCAACGCGGTGCTTAATGGAAGTTCTTACGAGTTCATGGGTCACGGGATAATCACGTGCCCGGTAGACTTGCTGTGCTACTTGTTTTAATCCTTGTCATGCACAGGAGTTGTTATCACAATGGCTCGAATGTTCCCCACGTCTGATCCGTCCTTGCCGCCCTATAAATCTCTCATAATACAAGGGGATTATCACCCTTCAGCTCCAATTCACATGTGCCTGTCAGTTCCAACGGGTGCCAAGGCTTTACTTCTTTCTTCTGCTCGACAGGCTCTCATACGTAGCCTTCAAGAGTACAACGACGAATGGTTACTGTCCGATTCTGGAACAGGCAATACTTGTCGCAGTAGTTCCGAGGTTGACATCTTGTTGGTCCCTTTTTGTGTATGCGTGTGGGCGTAATGTGATCAATTTGCCCAGCTACCCTCCAACCCCAAATCACCTGGTCGTGTTATTATCCGCGTTTAGAACACACGAGGCCTCAAATCCTGTACCTCTTGATTCCAAAGCAACTCTAGATTCTGTGCCGTCATTGCTTGTTTTGCACGAGTTATCTGCGTACTTCTTGCCCATGAATGAAAACGATTCGTATGTATTATTCGCTCTTGCTGTGTGCATCACGTTTTTAGGAAATTCGGCTGTTGTAAAGGCACACTATCGCCTCGTATCTCCAGCTTGTTAACTACGCGCTGGCGTTGGCAAGTTTCCTCTCCCCAGAATCACAGTGCGTCGGATGGCAGTGAAGTATCCATCGATAAATCGAGCATTCAATGGCATTTAGAACTCCTATGCGTTTCGCTCTATTTGATTCACAACTCGACAAACTGAAGCTTCCCGTCCTACGAACCCCAACTGTCCCCGCGTTTGACGGAGAAGAGAGCGGCGATGAAACACCTCGACCCGAATCCGTCGCTTTTGTGGCACACAAGTATTTCGAATGGGTGGGCACGTTTGACCGATGTATTACTAATTCATTTTCTTTCGGTTCGCCTTGCTGATCTATTCCATCAGCAGACACCAATTCTTTGTCTGATGGAAGTGAAGTACGCCGATGCACGCTCACGTTGCACAAGCAAGGCAGTGACATTAAATCGGATATCGTGTGGCGGTGGTCAGAAGTTCCAGAACGGGCGCACAGCCGCTGTGAGGGACTTGCAATCGCATTTTCCTGGTAACAACGTGGGGGTCCAATCCTGCGGTTGGTTTTGCCTGAGATTTCTGAACACAGGATAGATAGCCTTGACCCTTGATCGCTGAGAGTTGAATCCGGCCCGCCTCCCCGATCATTTCTATGGTGGAACCAGTCACTGTCGGGTAATAGTCTTTTTGTCAAATGGTCCTTAGATTGCCCTTGATCACTGAGCGCTAGGGGAGTTGAGTCCTACCCGCCTCTTCTCGACCATTGCTATGATGGAAACCAGTCACTGTCCTTTCCTTGGTAGTACCTTGTAGTCTCTTGTAATAGTCAGAACAAAGCAAACAGTCCTTATAATTGCTACTAGTAGATGTCCATTAGAGTTCACGCATTTTTTACAACACATCCACATAAAAATATAAATTTTCGACGAATGGATAGTCTGACTCCGACATCGACAGTACAAAGCCCGTTGGCAGTTTGTTCTACATGTTGAGTCCAGCGGAGACTTCCACGCAGACGGACTCGTGGGAATACGGTGGGACTATCTAAGTAGTGGCCCGTAGGGCCGCACACATTTGGACACGTTCCGTAAAGCTAGAAATTCAGCTTAGAAGTTGCCAGCAAGCTGTAGTGTTCGTCACTAGACCGTAACTCCGACCAAGTAGAACTTGAAGAGTACTTCGCTCTCGACTTCTAAAGTTCAAACAGACTTCGGACAGACTCGACTGCATCTTCCGCTACTCAAAGAATATGGCATCAGACTCAGAAGAGCTCTCGTTCGTCTCTTTCATTCTGAAACCAGGTTCATCCCTCCATCCAACATTTCTTTTCGCTGTCGATGCTGCATTTGCACTCCTGTTCTTCGTCTTCCTTTGGTCAGCGTACCTAACGAAAGGCAATCCGCACTTCTTCGTTTTGATGGGTATCCAGCTCGCTCTGTGGGCGAGCGTAAAATGGTACGTCGTGTTGGGCATACAAATGTTGAACGTTGAACAGTAAACTGAAGTCAATATACAGGTTTGTGCAAGAGCTTAACAAAGTTCCTCCTGCGAATGTGACGACCAGTATGGAGACGAGTACAGACAAAAAGGAACAATAATCAACGATTTATGGTATACATGACGCAGAGCAGATTATAGAACCCTTCATCGACGTGCCTTGTCATTTCCTTCATGCCAACGTTTCATTCGTTTTGCGCTTTCTTGAGCCAGCGCAAACACTACAGACAGGTGAGTAAGCGTCCAAGCCATAGTTCTCGGCAGTACTGACATTCCCTTTCTGTACCATCAAGCCCTTCTCTGAATGACTGTGCAGTATCAGTAGAAGGTCCACCTCCTCCTGCAGGGCCAAGCGCCGCGAAATGCTGCGCTTGATCAATCACCTCCAGCAAACGCCCTTTGAAGGCCTGAATGAACCAACTATTAACAACATCGCACAACGTATGCAGACAATGTACCTTTGTCAGCACTTCTGATATACCATTTGCCTGCTCTTCGCTCAAACTTATAGCCGGTCAGACATGCTCCCTGAAATCAACGGCGAAACTCACATATCCATGACCATCTTCCCAAAACCGTACCATAGTCCACCTGCACCAACTAAGTTGGATAGCTTTACGCTCCGAGGCTCAGCCTTGAGCGCGTTTCTTACTCGTGTGCCAAAGGGTGAAGGGATAGTGAAGTCAGCCCAGTCACTGAAGATCCGTTTATTCTTGTGCCTACTGGATATGCCTTAGACGCACGAGAACAACATGATATAGGCTAGCCATATCGGTATTGGAGCCTTCGTCAATGATTTGATCTAAGATAGCTTGAACAATGATGATACGCGTGAAAAGGGCAATTGAGACGCGCACATCACGGTCAGATCCACCTGCGAGGTGACCCATGTCGGGGATGTCGACTTTGAAGGTACATTGTATTTTCTAGGCCAGACCTTGAGTATTAGAATATCAAGTACATCACACAAACCTGATTTTCAGCTAGGATGGCATCGATGGAAAAGTAGTCGTTATCCATGATGGTGGCCGCGTTCGTCAAAACGCGTTTGTGGCTGTCACTTTGGTACAGGCCAACACTCAGTACTCAGTACTCACGCGCACGGTTGTTTTAACCACCAACCCTTCTGTCATGAACCACATACGTCAAGCATTACTTTCAGCAAGACGACCGGTTCGTCCGACTTCACTGGCACTCCTCCGCTGTCGGCGAACATTCTCCTACACATCGCGACTACAAGCCTCAGAGAATGAAGACACCTTCCTTTCGCAATTCAAGAACACTTCAATATTTGGGAAACTTGCGGATAAGCCAGATGCTTTGATGGCGCTCCGAGATTTTGCGGAACTTATGAAGGCTCAAGGTCAGCCGCCAATTGTGTAGTCCTTCACACATATTTATGCATTTTGCTTCCAGGTATTGACGCAAACACCCCACCCTCAACATTCCAGATGATGAAGTTGGCTGCGAACTCGGAGTTTAGGGAAGCAGCGCAGAAAGTTGTCTCTGAGTTGCAAAAAGCGGGTGTGGACCTCACTTCGCAGGTGAGCAAAATTCTTCTCGAAGGGTTACGCTCTCGCCGAATTCCTTTTGCCAGGATACTATACAGGAGCTTATGGGCCTGTCCAAGAAGGCAGGAGGGAATTAAAATGGGCTACTATAGCGTAAAATAGGTGCCTAATAGTACTTCCTAGTCTCTGATATAAGCGACTTGCTGGCCTGTGCCTTGTGCTGCAATTGTCAATCCTTTGGCCGTCACGGTCATGTCAGATGAGGCAGGACCTTCCAGCACGATACGTTCCGAAGCCCCAGAAAGACCCCTGCCATCTACACCATTCTATTCTATCGAATATCCGGGTTATGTCAAACTCGAATCTGTTCCGTTGGCGGTGAGTAATCTCGGAGGGCATTCACGCCTAGAAACCGCGTTCAAACGCACCGCGGCCAAGAATGAGGCGCTTCTTGAGCTCAATCTACGACCAGGGAATCCATTTGCACACCCAATACCGGGAGACATAGTCAGCACCAACAATATTCTATTGAAAGTCGTGAGACGGAAACGAAGGAACGGAAACGGAGAATGTGTTGGGGAGTTCACTGCAGAGGCAGTTGGTGTTATCCCGAAGACTGCACGGTTTCGCAGTGAGTCCAACTCACGTTTACAAGTGTCTCACTAATCCGTCTGCAACTATGAGGTATGGCGGATTATCAGTTTCAGCCTGACATGAATGATCCTTTGGCCCAGCTGCGCCTTGCAATGGATCAAATGGATGGTAAGTACAGTGTTTCAGTCGGTTGATCCGCAGACCTCACATTCCGAAGTCGATGCAATCCGACAATATTCGATTCCGGAGGAAAAAGAGGACTATGTGATTCCAGCGTCCATCCACCCACCCGAGCTAGACCCAGCATTGGCAGAGCAAAGCGAGCAAACTTCTGGACCTCGCAGTAACTTGCGCTTATTCCCTCCTCCGCTGTTCAGCCGTCAAAACGTACCGCAAAACTACAAGCACGTGATTCTGCTCGCTCTACTCTAAATTGCTGACCAGCCTGCAGCTTCAAGGCAAACCCTGCTTCGATTGTGACGTCCCTCATCGATGAAGAAACTGGTGAAGAACGCAAAAGGCTCATCAATAAGGGCCGATGGAAAGGTCATGGGCCAGTGACGATCACTTTCAGCGATCCCAATGTTTGTTTGACTTGTCCTCTCATGCCTCTGCAGCAATTTCTGATTCTCTGCAATAGGTTCCTGAGGGCCCTCCTCCAACAGTTGAAATTGTGCGCACTCAAGCTAATAGTGAACTTTTGAATCGAATACTGGAAGTGAGCTGCTCTTTATCCTTCTTGATCGATTGCTTGCTCATTTGAGAAGTTCATGAATGAACGTCCTGTGTGGACTCGTGCTGCCCTTTACAACCAATTTTCGCCCGCAGAGTTGAGAGAAATCCACAAGTACGCACTACATCATGCGATCACAAAAGTCTAACCAGCGACTACAGCTCGAAAGTCATCATGCCTTTGGCTGGATATATGTTCTCAGATGGACCATGGCGAGATGCCATGGTTCGATTCAAATATGACCCTCGGAAAGAATTGGATGCCCGAATGTGAGTTTTGTACGTATTACTATTGGTGAACACTCACTGTCAAGGTCTGAAGATATCAACGGATATATTTTCGGAATGCCAACCACCCCATGGCACGGCCTTCCGTGGTAGCGCGTCGGCAAGAGGGCAGGTCAAGTACCACATACATCAGTAGGTCCATCGAGCAAGAGGAGTCGTTCGAGACCGATCGGCGGTAAGCTTTCATGATTGTCACTGTATCTGGCTTGATGTGAACGACCACTAGTAAATCACACATATTTGACGGAAAGACTGTCACTAAAGAGACAGCCGCGTTTCAATTATGCGATATTCACGACCCTATGTTGAAGGAGATGGTGGAAGATGATGAAGACCTCCGGGAAGTCTGTGACGTGAGTCGTTGATGATGTGAGAATGGGTTTTCATTGATCATATGTATTGGTAGGAACGAGATGGGTGGTATAGCGCACAGGCACTGGAAAGAATCAAGACCATCCTCCGACACAAGTTTTTCTCACTATTGCAAGGGTATGTGGCAACAGAGGAGGAATGTCAAGCCCTTCTGGAACAGGATGCCTCTGGCAAGTCACAAACCACTCGTATGAAGCGCCTTAAATTCGGAAAACATAACATGGCGAAAGGGGCTTTGCGACCAGAAGATGCAGCAGTGCGTATTTACAGGTCTTATCTCACGATATTCTCTTATCCCTTCCTCTCTCTCACAGGCTGCGAGACTGCAAGCAACTCTGGATCGGAATGCCAAAACTCTCCTAGCGAATCGACGGGAGATGTATGGCGGTCGAAATTCGCAGACTGCCGACAATTCACGATAATGTGATGCGTGTTGTGTGGTACTTCGATAAACCAAAGCCATATGCAATGGCGTGGATGATGCATTGTTATATTTACAAGTGGTTGATATGATCTGTAGACAAGGGGCTATAGGCGATTAATGTGAAGCACATCTGAATCATCTGATCCTTTTCGAAATCCAGATTTATTGTGCAACGTGATATCGATACCCCACCTTGATAAATTTGAATGACATGGATGTAACGTACCCGTGAGAGCGTGAGGAGCATCTGGAGATATTCGGCGAACTACTCAAGCTCATGCAGCTCCATCATAATTGGGGACCCGAATGGCGATAAGGCATCGCGAGCGCTGCGGACAGAAGATACGCCGGTAATGCAACTAGTACTAGGTTCCTTCGGCCTAAGGTAAGACTCAGGACTTGCAAACGTTCAATCCCAAATCGGGCACCGGCCGAATCCAATTTGATCGGCCGAGCAACTTTGTTTTAACAAAACCTGCTTTAAAGGCTGGACGGTGACAGATATCTACCAGATCATTTATCCCCATCACCACCGTTTATTTCAACATCATGCCTGGTACAATCACTGGTCCTCGAACACTTTATGATAAAATTTGGGACGATCATGTCGTGTGGGGCTTCCCCTGTCTGTGTATTAGACATATACTGATTAACAGATAGAGATGTGAATGAAGACGGCCTTGCCCTCATTTACATCGACCGGTACGCAAACAGACTTTCCATCTCATTAATGTGAACTCACTGTATCACAGTCATCTTGTCCATGAGGTCACAAGCCCTCAGGCATTTGAAGGCCTGTGAGCACAATCATCAGACCCGCCTTCGTTACAATAGGCTAACAAGACTCCCTTAGGAAGAATGCTGGTAGGCCTGTTCGTCGTCCAGACTGTACTCTTGCCACTGTGGATCATAACATTCCGTACGTCGAATGATACACCTTTGCTTTGCATAGGCTCACATTGCGACAGAACCATTTCCCGGAAAAGCTACAGGTCTGTGGATACCTTTGTCGCCGAACCCGACTCGCGTGCGCAGGTTATGCAATTGGAAGCGAACGTGAAGGATTTTGGGTTGACTTATTTTGGGCTATCTGACAAGCGCCAAGGTTTGAACTAATGCAGCTGTGTGCGTGAACGCTAAATGACACGGTACTTTCCAGGTATCGTGCATGTCATTGGTCCCGAGCAAGGCTTTACGGTAAGTCTTCATATCTATCAGATGTATGTAACAGCATAAACTTGGTTGAACCTTACCAGTTGCCTGGCATTACTTGCGTGTGCGGTGACTCACACACCTCAAGTATGTTCAACATGCTACTTTTCGGTGCGAGTTGACGTTGATCTGATTGCAATAGCACATGGTGCCTTTGGTTCCCTGGCATTCGGTATTGGAACCTCCGAGGTGGAGCATGTTCTTGCTACCCAAACTCTCTTGCAGAGGAAAGGCAAAAATATGCGCATCAGCGTCGATGGTGAGCTCGCCGAAGGCGTTGGCTCAAAAGATGTCATTTTACACATCATCGGTGTCATCGGAACTGCTGGTGGTACCGGAAGTGTTATCGAATACGCCGGCTCGGTATTCCGCAACATGAGCATGGAGGCTCGCATGAGTGTTTGCAATATGAGCATCGAAGCCGGTGCTCGTGCAGGCATGGTTGCACCCGACGAGATCACTTTTACATATTTACGGAATCGCCCCCTCGCTCCCAAGGGCGAGGAATGGGACCATGCAGAGGCTTACTGGAAAACTCTCAAGAGTGACGACGGCGCTAAGTTTGACATTGAAATCAACATTAACGCCGCAGATATCCCTCCTACCGTCACCTGGGGCACCTCCCCCCAGGATGTTGTCGCGATTACTGGCAAGGTCCCTGACCCGTCCACCATGTCTGACCCGTCGAAACGTGCATCGGCAGAGCGGGCCTTGGCTTACATGGGCCTGCAGGCAAACACGCCCATGGAAGACATTTCTCTTCAGAAAGTGTTCATCGGGTCCTGTACAAACAGTCGCATAGAAGATCTTCGATCCGCCGCTCGGATCATCCTCGCTGCCGGTCCCGATGCTAAGGTCGCCCCAAATGTAGAAGCCATGGTTGTTCCCGGATCTGGTCTGATTAAACAGCACGCTGAGGCGGAAGGGTTAGACACCATCTTCAAACGTGCAGGGTTTGACTGGCGTGAGGCCGGTTGCTCAATGTGCCTAGGCATGAATCCAGATCAGCTGGCGCCTGGTGAGCGCTGCGCCAGTACTAGCAATCGCAACTTCGAAGGCCGTCAAGGTGCCGGTGGTCGCACGCACCTCGTCAGCCCCGCTATGGCTGCGGCAGCAGCTATAACGGGTAAACTGACAGACGTTCGCAAGTTTTTCGGTGCAGATGCAGAAGAAAAGGTTGCTGCTGGTCCTAAATTAACTCTCGCGAGTGCCTTGGACTTCCTGACCGAGTTTACCGGACCTGCGACTGAGCCAGAACGCCCATCGCATACCCAGACCGCAACCACTACCTCTTTGCCGACTGCTTCTTCTGGTTCCGGAGTCCCGAAGTTCGTTATCGTGAAAGGCATTGCTGCACCCTTGCATAACTGACAATGTCGACACCGACATGATCATCCCGAAACAGTTTTTGAAAACTCTGAAACGGACCGGTCTTGCCAACGCTTTGTTCTTCGCTCAGCGCTTCGATCCGAAAACCGGGGAAAAGACGGATTTCGTTCTCAACAAGTCTCCTTATGACCAAGCCAAGATTCTCATCTGCACTGGCAAAAACTTTGGTTGTGGTAGCTCCCGGGAGCACGCAGCTTGGGCTCTGTGAGTATTCTTGCATTTCTGCATGTTGACATACTCACAAAACTCTTTCGATAGGAATGACTTTGGAATCCGTTGCGTAATCGCACCAAGTTTTGCAGATATCTTCCGTAACAACACGATGCAAAATGGCATGCTGCCCTTGCCCCTGTCTGAGGAGGACTGCAAGGACCTCGCTGCGGATGCTGAGGCAGGCATGGAGATTGAGGTGGACCTCGAGAAGCAGGAAGTTAGACGTAGTGGAAAGCCAGCTATCACGTTCAGCATCGATCCATTTAGGCAACACTGCCTTGTCAACGGATTGGACGATATCGGCCTGACCCTGCAGAGGGAGGAGGCAATTACCTCATTTGAGGAGAAACGTAGTACTCTCTGGTCGTGGTTGGATGGATTCGGATACCAGGGTCAGAAGATTTCTGTTGCAGGTATAAAAACGGGCAAGAAGATGGAATGGTAAAGGCGAGAAACAAATCTTATTAGTGGGATCTACAATTATGTACTTGTACTTGGATCAGGTGAATTTCGTTTCGCGTAAAACAAAGGATGTTGCTTATCAGACGTGTCCACATGTTTTTCGCCTAAAAGTAACAACCTGATACGGTGCTTCTTTTACATAAGGTACGCACTACTGCATTTTCGCTCCTTAAATCTCAGTGCTTGTAGCTACGGACAACGAGAATGGCCCCTACCAAGTCTCGGGAACCTCAGCCCCCCAAAGTCCCATCCAAACTGACAACTTCCAAGCCTCCTCACCGTGATCCGATTCAATTGGGAACTCAGCCTAAAGCTGAGCCCAAGCCACCCAATGCCACTGAGTCTGCGACAAAGCCACAGCAGGTTTACACTAAGAAGCACACACATCGCTCTAGCAAACCTATCATCAACTGGTTTCAGCGCAAGCTATCAGGTACTGTGAAGCCGAGCAGGATTGTAGATAACGCGTTTGTACCGGGCAACTCACAGAACGCCCCAAACGGCAAGAATGGTACAAACGCGTCCCATTCCAGGTCGAATAGCCGTTCGGTATCCTCTCCGCTACCACAGCTCACACCAAGTTCATCGCAAAGACAGGGAGTAACTGGGAATAGCAGTCGAAATGGTTATACCGCATCTCAACGGAAGACTATCTCTCTAAATGGAGAGGGTGATTTGGATACCGGTTTCATACATTCAGATGATGAAGATCTTGACGCGTCGACTCATCGCTCGTCACTAGCTCGCGATTCATTTTGGTCTCCTGCTAGCGCTCTCGAAGCAGATGAAGATGCTTCTCTCCGCCCCCTCCGCCCAAGTTCACCCCCCTCTCCTTCACTATCCCACTCCTCTTCTTCATATCTATCCAATCCTCGCACCTTCAGAAGTATCGCCGCGAGCACCAAGCCAACAACAGTACTAAGCGTTGATCTTGGTCCTGCTGGAGTAGGACACATAGCACAAGTTCCCATCACACCGGTATCCCAAGTTAATCCTCGTTTTCCGCCCCATGGACGGACATCATCTACCGGAACAAACAGCGGGTTGATAGGCAGTGGTGCATCCGTTACCTTCTCTGCTCTCCCGCCTTCTCTTCAATCATCATCTCGCCCGCCTTCTTCCCTGAATTTCAGCTCATCCACGCCAGTATCATTAGGCCCGTCATCTCACATGCCTGGGCTACAGGCCCCTCTGTATACCGCATATCATCCAAGGAACAATCCTCGTCCCTCTTCTCCACCCATGGATAATGCTTCTGTTTTGACCCTTGCTTCTTCAGCTTATGCCATGCCCGGGCAACGTTTAACAATGGGATTTACGGGTCCAACTGCACTGTCGGGACTGATCGGAAGTGGAGACTCGATCTCTCATTTAGAGGGCAGCTTTACCGGAGATGCAGAAGGCGACATCATGAGCCAGTTTGTACTTGGAGATGATGATCGCCACGATGCTGATGTGGAACGCGACGTAGATGCTAGCATGCGTGCTCTTCGTCCACGGAGCTCACGGAGAGGAAGTTGGGAAAGCGAGATTAGTGGATGGAGCGCTAGGATTCTAGGAACGGGTGGCCCCATAAGCATGGGCAGCAAGAGCTTGTGGACGTACAATAGCGCCAAGACTGGCGGACCTCTGAGTGTGGACGATGAAGAAGTCACCAGTGGTTTGGAAACCTCACAGGAAGAAAAGAGTTCGACGCACGGACCAGATCAAGTTGACGTGTCTTCAGCTGAGACGCCTGCTGGAGGTGACGGATACGACTCGGCTAAGGAGACGGTGGTCGAAGAATCCTTCGAATCTGCTGATGATGTTCCTGCTACCCTTGGCCGGGCTTCAGGACCCATAGCAATTCGCAAGCTTTCTCTAGCGGAAACCTAAGGCATGTGTATGACCGTACATCGGTGGACTCCCAACTGAATGTTTCCCTCTACCATTAGAATACGTGGGAGGTGATGTCGATTTTATTATTGATCAGTGAGAACTGCCAGGGTCAGATACAATCTGGCGTCACAGCAACTTTCCTTCTTGCTACTTTATGTATGTTCTTCGTTCCTGTTATACAGTACAGTCACCACTCTCTTTGACGTTGTTCTAATCATCATTGGCATGTGTACTATCACACTCATGTACATAGCTCTACATCTCATTCTAAGTTTATCATCTCATCAAATTTATTGTTAGGCATTTGTTCGCTCCTGGATGGAAGTAATCATGCAGTCTCGTAAGATACTTCACCGCATACTGCACATGGGACCGGGAACATCCCTGTTGACCATAGTATAATATCAATATTAAATACGTGACAGTGCATGCGAACTTCCAGATCAGCCTGAGTGCTTCGCAAGTTCGCATGGTCACGGTACCGGTGCGCGCTGGCTGATATTTTTTGAAGCGCGTAGCCTTATTATTAATCTATGTTGTTTGGCAGCTTCATAAGTAGTCTTTACAACAACTGGGATGGTGCTTCTCGAACACTTTCATACGGCCTTGGTTATCCGTGGAGCGCAGCCAAAATGAAATTAGGTCTTGGAGTTGCTGGTATTACCATCTCCCTAATGGCTGCTACTGCCCAGGCGGACTGCCCAGACTACACTACGTATGCACAGGTGAATGCTCCAAGATGACCGAGACTGGATTTCTTGCTCATTAGCGCAGAGCCCTCAAGGGAATCCCTCCTCTGGTCCCCTGGGATTGCCTTACATGCGGCCCGACCCTGCGTGCAGGACATTCAACAGTACTTCAGTGGAGGTATGACGCATTTTATGTTGGTAGGACAACGTGTGACTGGGGAATTATCTGCAGAAAGTTATTCTAGACATGAAGTCGCGTCTGAAAGACCCTGACATCGCGCGTCTCTTTGAGAATACTTTCCCAAATACCCTCGGTACGTACCTAGTTGCTGCAACAACGGACACTCATAAAACTCTGGCAGATACCACTGTGAAATACTACAATGAGGTATGAGTGATGGTGCCTGTTTTCTACGCATTCTAACTGCCGAAGAGGGAGAACTTGGCATTTATCATTACTGGGGTGAGTTGCTTGCCTCCAATGTGAATAACATAATGACGGTTGTGTTCAGGATATCACGTACGTTGTTCCCTTTCTTGGATTCTTCGTATTGACGTTTCATTGCCGCTTGAAGTGCGCAATGGCTGCGTGATACTGGCAACCAGGTAACTCGCTCTGCAAAATTTGCAATTCGAATGTATTCAGTATCTTCTTCCAGTTTTCCCATTACCACACCCTTCTCTCTGTTGACGTCGACCTTGCCAACCTGGTTAAGGCTGTAATTAATAACGAAGCCCGCTATGTTTCACAGTATCCTTACTGTGGTGCCTTTCAACCTCCCCCTGAAAGTGGTTTGGGACCCTCTGTCAATGATTGGGCTCTTGGTGTCCTCGTTAATCCGTCAGTTTTTTGCTCATCGTGGTGGTTCGTGTCCTGTGATGCTCTTTGCACAGCCCTGTGGACAATCAAACAGTGTTTGAGTGCAAGGTTTGCATCTTGACAATCGTAGTCTTTTGAGCACTGACCTGTGTGGTATCTCCAGTATGAAATCGACTCGTTGTGTGGCTTCATCAAGCTTTCCTCCTCTTACTATGAAGCAACAAAGGATGCATCCATGATGAATGCAGAATGTTTGTCTTTTATTCAGTCTTGTTGTGCTGGGGTTTCATTCTTGGTGCAGGGCTTGCCGCAATTGATCAGATCTTCCGTGTCATTAATGAGCAGTCTCAAGCTTCCTTTGGTGCTGATTGGAACTTCATCTCTTACTACAACTGGACAGGTCTTGCAGGCTCCCTTGCTGGTGCAGTAAACAATGGCGGAAATGGTGAACCTAAAGGATATACGGGTATGGTCGGGACACACCACAGGCCCTCTGATGACTTGAGCACATTCGGTGAGCTTACATGGAGGCGGCCTGGTTCCTCTGATCATGTGGCTCGCTTCTAGCTTTCCTTACGCCAGCCAATGCCATGCTAAGCGTTCAACTAACCAATCTGGCTACCATTTTGGACCACGCTGGTGTGGCCCCCAATGTTAGCAGTCAGGCAAAGCACTGGAGCAAAACGATAGAACAAGCTGTTTGGGAACACACAGTACGTCGAGCCTGGCAGAGGGTGTGAATTTTGCTGATATGTGTATCGCAGGTTGTTGATGGCATCTTTGCATACGAGACTAATGGTATGTTTTTGACAACTATCTTTGCATCACTTATGAAAGACTCTTCAAGGATTGGGTTCGCGCTATGTGATGGACGATGCGAACGTTCCGGTAGGCTTCAAATACATTGTCTTGAAGCAAGCTATAACCTTGTATAGTCTCTCTTGTCACTTCCCTACCTTGGCTTCCTCGACATGGATCACCCTGATTACGTGAAGACCAAGAAGATGCTCATGTCCCGCGGAAACCCTTATTATGCCAAGGGCAGAAGCTTCAGTGGTATTGGGTGAGTGTAGTCAGGGAAAAATGAATGTCTATTTCTGACAGAAGGCAGTGGGCCTCACATAGATGTCTGGAACCCTTGGTAACGATTGGCAGATTGTGGCTTGAGATTTAGTGGCCTGATCGTTTCTATATAGGCCCATGTCTCAGGTTAGCAACATCTTTGGAACCAATGATGACAAGGAAATCCTGTCCTCGTTGTATACCATTGTTAATGTGGGTGCCGAAAGATATTGGTTCTGCCATGCTGACTACGCACATAGAACACTAGCGGCCTTGGTTTGATCCACGAGTCGATCAATATTTACAACATATCAGATTATACACGCCCTTGGTTCGCATGGGCTAATAGTTATTTCTCTGAGATGCTTCTGGACCTCGCGCAGAGAAAGCCCCACCTGATCTTCAAGGACAATAAGCCGTACACGCCTGGACAGTGATGCATGATGCTGTATCGTGTCAAGTTACCTAGATATTGATAAGCTTGTCTATTATGATGCAAAACCACGTCCACTAGCACTGTCTGGAAATGAACTTGCGCACTATGCTGCGGCAAAGCGAACTAACCTGAGTGTGGGTGATGGTATTGGCGCTAAATGGGATGCTGAGCCACAGCCAACCATGTTCGACCATTGCTGTATATATTCTTGAATCAGTACTGCGATCAACTGGACCGCTTCATGCTCAACTGGTAGACATTTCTACGATTCATTCTTCCCTCAACCTTGAACATTTCTGTTTTCTTTTCTTCATATTGATTATATGTCGTTAGCGTCGCGCGAGATCGGAACACTAATTGTTGTTGTCTTGAAAGCGGTGCGCATCGAGTTCAACCTTCTATTATATATCTCTTTGACATGGCGAGCAGAAAAATCTGCCCAATAAGAGGCATATAGGAAAGCAAGCACCATACTGCTGCGCGTTCTTGAACGAAGAGAAACGTCGTACAAAGGCGATCAAGCGGGGTGGTCAACATCCGGAATGGGACGAAGAATTCCGCTTTACTGTACACGAGGCTACTGACGATGAGCTGGCAATAAATTCGCAATCAACGGACACGCCACCGCGCCCTCCACCGAAGAAGGGTCGACCCAAGAAGATCAAGGGCGGGAATTCCATGAAGCTTCAGTGTTATGCAGATGATCCCCGGGAACCAGACTTGATCGGAGAGACAGTGGTCGACTTGACCGAGGTTCTCACAAAGGGAGAAACGGATGGTAAGCTGGGATTTACACCTGTCTTCAATCTGATTTAATCAATCTTTTGGCAGAGTGGTTCACACTCATGAACAAGGACAAATATGCGGGAGAGGTGTACATTGAACTGACTTTCTGGTCAAATGTACGTTGTCAATTTCCTGGCCCACTTGTCTTGATCATCTTATGGGATGGTATGCAGGAACCTCCTCCAGTCAAAAGAATTACGCCGAAACCGGCTGCTGGTGATAGCAATTACGGCGGTCCAGGAAATTTCGTGCCAGCCAGTGGCAGTACCTCCTCATTGAACGGGTCCAGTGCACATTCAACTCCTTCCAGACTTTCTGTCTCTGGCAGCCTTCTTGATAGCCATCTGCCGTCTACTATGCGTTCATCACACTCGAGAGCAGAGCTCTATGCACCCGCATACGAGCAAAGGAGCCGCCTATCGCCATCACCTGCGGATCAGCTTGTCAACGATTTTGGGGAGCTAGGTGTCATGGATCCCAGAAGACGGGAGAGCTGTCCGGTGTGTTTCCCTTCTCTGTGGTGTAGGGCTCGTCATGACTGGTGACTTAGCCCACACAAACGATACGTCCTTCAACATCTGCGGGCTTTGGTTCATTACCTTTGCATTCACACTCGTATGATCAGCATATACTTGATAACGGAACATTGACGGTCTCACACGATGGGGGGAGAGCAGCTTCTACCTCACCATCCATTATACCTTCTGGTCCTGCTCCATACTACCCTCCTTATGACAGCGTTTCGACTGCCAACCATCCTCCCCCCACCCCGTCTCGACAAGGACACACTGGACCCCGATATAGCTTGCCAACTTCTTCTTCGGGATTTATGCCGATACCATCACCAGCCTCGTCTTCTTTTGGAACGATGGCATCGCACTCGTCAGAGCCATCTGGTTTCTCACTGCCGGAAAGACCTCCATTACCGATCCCTCCATCTTACCCTCCAGGTCCCGCCAATCACTCGTCATCTCACCAGATTGGCCATCCTTCCCACCCCCCTCTCCCAGTGCCTGTCATCACACCGGCACCTCCCCCCAATGCATCTCATCGGATCTCACACTCATTCAGCACGCCGCAGCTACACACTCATGATCAGTACCAATATTCAGATCCCCATGCACAATCTGTAGCCTTCCCATCACCATCACAACAAGAGTACATACCATCACCTCAGACATATCAGACATATGCACCCACATCGCCATCACCACCTCACGAGTACGCATCTACTTCTCAGCATATCCCAGTATCACGAGGTTCTAGACCACTTCCTCAACCTCAGATGGCTAACAATGTACCACGAACTCGCCATCTTTCCGTGGCCGTACCTCCTTCATCGAGCTTCCCTCAATCGCTGAATGCGCGTAGCCCACTCCCCTCTAATTTTCCAAATAGTTCGACCTACCAAAACATCCCACCACCACCACCCCTTCCAACCCAGTATCATTCCACCGCACAACCTCATTCTGGGCATCCATCGCCTCAGGGGGAGTCGCAAACATTCTATGCTCCTTTTCCGACTTCACCGGCTCAGCCGCACTCAAATGTGTCCCCAGCACGGCCCAACCTCCCGCAGCCTCCCATGGGATATCATCCAGTGCAACCTGCATATCAGCCTCTCCCTCAGCCGCCCCCGCCCCCACCCGATCTGCCACGTCACGGACAGGTTCATCCTCCCCCTTTATTACTAAATGCTCCACCCGCCAATCATTCTTATTTCCCAGGTCCGCCCCCTCGACCTCCACAGATGATTGATCATTCTCATTGGGGTCAGCAAGGAAGCTACGGGCAACCAGGGTGACAGGTAATGAATTGAATATGCATAGTAATAACGCTCCATCGCAATAGCAATGTAGACATAGGTTGGATTGTAAATCCTTCCATTTTCTAGACATCCACGGTTGATCCAAGGCACTGTCGCTCGCTAGCACGCAATACCTGTAAAAAACTGCTGTATCCGGACTTCATCTATAAAACAATACTTGGCCCGAAGTCTAGCGATATATTGAAAGGAAATAGGGAACCTCATTCTTCTGCGCCCCGCCGCATGCAGATCGTCGGACTCATCTTTTCTTGCTTTACGTCAAGTTTCTTAGAACATCACATCTTAAGCTCACCCTTCATGCCTTTGTTTTGTTCGAGTTGTTCGCCTCCCTCCGCACATTCTCGGTTTGCCTATCATACGAGTCACTCGCAAATATATAGTCTGACTCTGCTGTAGATGGCATCTACCCTCGTATTCATTAGCAGAATAACATCCAGTGTTTTCCCACTTTACTAAATCTCAAGCTTCAAGTTCGATTCTTCAGAAAGTCTGTGCCGCACGTCGTAAATCTATGTAGTGCCTTCAATCCGCGCTTCCTCTACATCTCGTATTGATGATCATCGAACTCTCAACCAGTCTGAACAGAGGTGTCAGGAAGATTTCCATTCAAGTTGTTTGTTCGTTCTTCCATTTGTCGAGTCCTTTCTGCTCGCCACTTGGCAATCTCAGTTTCCGTGCCGACGAGTCCTCGGCGAGCAAGGTCTATCCTGGCTTCACGGCGAATAGCATGTTCAGACTGCCGCCTTTCTGCCTCGTGACTTAAAAGGGCGTTATCTGCCCCAATCACCAGACCGGCCATGGTGACTGCAAGGAGGAGTCAGTGGTACACTAGTGGTTGCCTGAAGCGAAGATTCTTGGCACACTCACATCCGGAGACCAGGAATGCTTTGAACGGTAGTGTCTGTCGTCTTTCATACGAGGTGTAAGTTACTGTGCAGCCATCCGTCGTCACTCGCACCGGAAGAGTGGCCACGCATAATGGGCAAACGTGACGACTCCAACGCCGAAAGCTCCTGCTCGGGCTGCTCCCTGTTCAATATCTTTGCTTCAGCCTATGATTCAACGAATAGCATGCGGAACATGTTGCCATTCACACCTTCGTCGCGGCCCTCACTTGTACGGTATATGCTGCATCGACTTCCCGCTGTGACTGGGAACGATTTGACATTGTTCGGAGTATGTCGGAACGAAACGAGGGCTTGGTGCTTGTGAGATTGCTGGTGAATGATATGTTCACGTGGTACTACAAGCCTATCGTTCCAATACCCATGCTCTGTATACAAAAATATGACGATAGACAATAATTAATGTAATAATCGCTGGAACTACGAAGGCTAGCCCGAGAGTGTGCCGCACTTCATCATTTTATTTGTGATTCAATGTCATCACATCACCGCGTTTTGAAAAAGCCAACAGGTCAGACTCCGTCTTCAACACCTGCACCACCTGGTCATTGCTGAAACACGAGACCTTCGGTGAATCGAAGTTGAATGAACGAAACCTGTACGATAAGGTGAAACCAACATACAGATGCAAGTTGCTCCCGAACATTGCGCAAGTCCCAGAGACGCACACTACCATTGCGGCTTCCCGAGGCGAAAAAATGAGACCAAGTATCTCCTTTGATGAAACGACCATGCAACTCGGTCGTGAAAAAGCCAAAGCGTTCAGCAGGATGCTCCGGAACCATACGATGATCACGAAGCTCGAATTGCAGATCTCGATGGCCAACCTGTGGTCACGTTAGAAATAAAATCATATGACAATGGATTGCCATGCGCACCTCAAGTAAGGTGCAGAAAGGTGACTCCGTCTTATGTGCGTGATACGGAGAATTGGATGTCTTGAATGTATGTACAACACGTTCCGGAGATAGGTCCCATAAATGGACACTGCAGTCCGCACCAGCGGATATGAGTTTGTGACTAGTGTCACGAATGGGAAGAAGGGACTGGATCACAGATGTGTGCTTAATTGCCAAAAGTGTCGAGGAGACGCCCATAAAATCAGGGGAAATTTTCCAAATATGAACGGCATGATCATGACCTCCACTGGTAAACATAAGTGGTTGCAACATTGTCGACACAACACTCGCCCCCCCCTTCTTGGTCGTATTCCAAGGACGATTGACAACGCGAAAATTTGTTCCCTTACGAATTTAAATAGATTTAAACGGTGATAATGAACACCCGCAGATGCTTACCCTGGAGGTTTGAAATGTCAAGTACGAAATTTGTTTCTCTTCACGTGCATGGGCCAGAACGACGACTGACGTATCACCCGCGTGAAGTATACACGCGTCATCAACGGACTCTTGAGTTGGGGCAGTTGGCCTTCGTAAGTTATGCTGGAGCACCAGGTCAGGCATACCCAGGCTCTCGACGAAACCGCGCATAGATACGGTTATAAGAGACGAATTCCAATGTGCGCTGAGTATGCGGCGCGGCTTATCGTGGGCGTCGAGAAGAAGACGAGAAGGGCCAGGCCTAGTGCTGAGCACCAAAGCAGGATCTGATGAAGAACTCTCGTTCGGGCCGTTGACTAACGTCTCGGAGAATACTTGAGCTGGTTCTTTTAGAGACTTCGCAACCATGCTGCCACCTGTGCTGATAAGATCCCTTAGTGGAACAATATCATCGGAATCACTGTCGGGTATAACAATCGGTTCCGCCGCAGATGTGACATCCATTGGGGAGGGTGCATTAGAAGATACTGAATTTATCTTTAGAACTCCAGAGCGGAAGAAACGTGTCAGTGTGGGAGGGGGAACAATCACATGTGTATCCGGAGGATCAACAGTAAGGTCGATGATTTCTTCTGGAGGAGATACAACTCGAGATGGAAAAGCTCTCTGCTTGCCTGGTATGGCGGAACCCTTTATTCGAGGTATTGCTGCATGTGTTGAGTAGGAGCCTAGAACTTCCAATGACGCGGGCGTAGAAGATTTCGCTAGCTGTGGCAGTCTTCGAGTTGAGCTGCTTGCACCCACGATAGGACTGACTTTGGAGGTCTCCTCGCCATATACAGAAGCACAGCTCTTTGCCTACGATTCAGTAAGAGAGCTAATCACAATCGAAGTACAGGTAAGTCACCTTTGCAACCTCCTGAGTGTTGTTCGCACTTTTATCACACTGGGGCTCATTTCGAACAGTATGCGCCCTACCGCTAGGCAAATCACGTTGCACGGCTGTTACACAAAGGAACCAAAAGCCCGTGTATTAATAACTGTCATTTTGGATATTTTGTTATTCACCTTGACTCATTTTTCTGGGCACAGAACGATCGTTGTGCATTGCTTTGTAAGAGGAGAGAACAGCCTGCGCTTCATGATCACCAAGGATGACTTTTGGGCATTGTGAAGGTAAAGGAATGCTCGTATAGGGCAATCCTCGTGTCTGAAAGTGCCTCTCTGAGCCTTGGGACACCCTTGAGGAAAATTGCTGAGAATTAACTTTGATTCGCTTGGGCGGACGCAAGTCCGACTGTTCTAAATGGCCCAAAGGCTCCTGTTTAAAGTGATCGAGCGAACGACCCGGTGTGTTGGATGGAGAAGAGGTTGAAGAAAATTTATTCGAATGATCCCACGCAGGAGACAGGGTAGAGTGAGGGATCAAGTTTCTTTGATTGAATGTGCGATATGGCGGACGACCTCGACTAGAATCAAAGCCTCTGAAGGATCCACGATGTCCTCCACGATGCCCTCCACGACGAGTAACTGTGATAGCGGGTACGGTGGACTTTCCCTTGCGATCTAAACGGACTTCATTTGGTTGTCGATCTTCCATCTGGCCTCATGCACAGGGACCAGCTGGTTTGGAAATGGTGATTATTTTCAACTAGGGATGAGTGGATAGATGACATATCCCCATAGGGCTCTATTATCACTGTGTAAAGCTGTGCAAATATTTTTCCACGGCTCGATACTTTCAATCAACAATTTAATCCCGTTTCACCGACTGACACGTGCACGTGCTCTACGACACTTTTTGTCGCGGTGAGTATGTCGGCTGGCCGAACTTGAAGAACGAGGCCAAGTCGATGCGCTCACCAAAATATTAGGGTATGCCAATTGGGGATGGCAACAACGTAGATGCATGTGGACTACGTACCATTGTCGTGGTGTCGGGGAGCTGGGGCGCAAGCGCCGTTATGTATACTTGTTTACTTATTTTTAATTTGGCTGAAGCGGAATCAATTATTCTCTGAACATTTCAGCTTTCTCCCGCATGGCCTTATCTTCAGGTTCTACTTTCAAGAGATCAAGCTCTCCAATAATACATGGACCCGTGAAACGTCACAAATCTGAGAGCGATAATTCAGAGGGTTGTATGCCCTACGCTCATCCCCTCCCACTCACAGCGACCTACGGAGTGGAGGCAATAAAATATGCTCCAGGCACTAGAGTTTCCGCTTTCAGTCGTAAAGACTTTGAAACAATGATCCGCGAAAGGGAGCATCTCCTCTTCACCCAAGGCCGAAGGGTCGTTGGCTTGCCGCTCGTTCTGTGAGTCTCCACTGATTATACTGCGCGTCGGAGCGCTGACCTTGGGTTCGTACGAAAGGGACGACGGAATCGTGATACATTGGTATATATTCTTCAGACACAGTTAACTACCGAGTGACAGAGCTGATAGGGTCTTGGACCCTCATATCGAGGTCAGCCATGAAGCGGGACCGAGTCTAAGTTCGGAGCTGTCTGCTTCTCAAACATTACCCGATGGACTCTTGCCTCAATTGCAAACTTCAGCATCTGGGCCTGCCGATGCGGTGCGGCGTGATACGGACCCGAGGTAGGATGCACTTGCACAGCTCGATGGATTCCATGATGACTTACATATAATAGCCATACCGCAGAATCTCCCGAGATCGAAATCATCTCCTGGAAACTTGCTGGAGGCGATGAGGTGGCAAAAAACGAGCACCCGGAAGAAAGTCCACATGAACTTCACACTCAACTCAAGAACGAAGCAATTTCACACAACAGTATTTCTGACGATGAGCGAATATCCTCATCCGACGACATAGCTAGCTCATTGAGGTCAAGAGCGGTTCCTTCGCGCCGAGAACAAGCAATGGCCGAATTGTGCGGGGATCTGTGGTCGAGTATGCGAAGTTCTTCCGTGGCTCCTAGCTCTGATGATGACAGATTCGATGAGCCTGCGGACGTTGGCAAGGTTGCAGAGGCCTCGTCGTCGAGAACTGAAGTCAGAACCCCTTTCACGCGAACAGTCGGTGTACTGCGAGGACAGAGGCCCACCATTCAACGAAGTACTGCAGCTGTATCATCCCAACCTGGTAAACGAAATAATAATAATCACACTTCTGACATTACGACATCGATGAAGGACAGACATGGAAGCATTGTTTCACTGCGATCGCGACGATCGCAACGGGCGAGTTCACTGTCGTCGGAATCAAGTGCAGATCAGGAAGTCGTTAGACTGCCGGTGCTTAAACGAGTGCCGCTGCCGAAGACTCCGTATGGGCGCTCTAGGAGGTTGTTGATCCCGGCTTCTGACAACCTACCATTGGTTGCGATAAGCATGCGGGCGGACGCCCAGTTCATCAATCGTCAGGATCAGTGAGTTCCGATGTCGTCACCACCCATTCACATCTTCACTTCGACTATCAGATTCCGTCTCACTCTGAACTCTCTACCTAACCCGGGAGTTCAACAACATGTGGAAGATGCGTGTGTCGTAGGTGATATTGTCGTTCTTGGCTTCAATAGCGGGCCAAGTCAGGTTACATTTCTACCTGTTACAGTGCGTGTGTTGCATTTATGTGTTACAAGACATTCATATTTCGTTAGACGAAAGCACCCCGAAGAATTGATTCGAAAGCTTTGCCGCATGTCAGCCCTCCTCGGCTGTCAGGATCTTCCGGGGAGGGTGTAAGGTGCCTCGCCGCAATGAATGCGACAGCTGGTTCCGTTGAATTTTTTACAGGTGGCCATGACCGACGAATTTTTAAGTGGAGCGCAGATACGCAATCTCTAGAAGAGCCGACTGTCACCAAGATTGGTGCATTTCTAGATTCTGGTGTCTCTGCGATGGCTTATCGCCACGACGACAACTCCCTCGTGTCCTCTGACACGAAAAAACTATATGTTACGGACCTTACCCGATCCCACACGCCTAGCCCAGCCCAGTTCTCCAACTATGTCAACCAGATACATGTTCACCCCCAAATACCACACTTGACGCTGCTGGAGGTGAGATGCTCCCTTAATTTGTAGAATTGGACTTTGATAGGCTTTGCAGGTCCGACATCTCGATCATCAGATAGCGATGTTCGACCGCAGGATGGGTGGCTTCGACAAAGCTCCATGTTGCACATTTGGATATCGCAATGCTAACGCGAAATTTGAGCCATCATACACGAAAGGCGGCATGCACCATACCTTTTTTGCGCGTGGTCATCACGACGGCACTGTTGTCCTTTGGGACTTCCGTAATGTCAAGGTACACTCATTTTGTTATGGAATGGCAATTTTTTCTTACTCCGACATATGAAGAACATTGTGACGAAGAGACAAAGCCGACTTACTCAGGAGGTGGTGCATACAGTGGTTGCAGATTCCCGCGTTGTCACTTTTGGTGACAGTGTTGTGACGTTTTTGAACGACTTCTTGCGTAGTTAACCAATGTCGCTCCGTTCTCTTCGTCACCCTGAGGCGCAATCATGTTGATACCTTACAGAAATCAGCCTGGCAAACTACGCATGTTTATTCCATTACCAATGTTTTTGCCAACCGTATACAGTACAGATCTTGAATCTGCGAATAGGACGGAGGTGATCAACGCTTCGCATGTGATGAACCTCGAGAAACGATAGGTCAAATGGAACAAACCTAACTCGAAATGTAATAACGGAAGGATCTGGTGCATACGATCGTTTGGCGCTAACTTCTGACACGCCACCACCGTCAGAGCAAAGAGACGGGAACGTAGCCGTGCTCAGCCCACCTCGCCAATGGTCCATCCGTGCGTGAGTTTGCGCATGCGTTTACCTTCTGACCCATAACATATATGGGGTTAGTGATGCATCGTTTCCGCTTGATCCGAGCGATAATGACTGTACTCGCTTACTGAAAGAGTATGAAGAGGATGATGCCAGATATCGAACCAGCGGAGACCGCATGTGGACAACCGATGATCCAGTAGTATATTGCGAGCTCTTTCGGCACAAAAAAGCATTGATCGGCTCGAGAATGAGGGAGCCTGGTATAGAAGAATTAAGTCATTAAAGAACGTTGACCTCACCATTGCCTGCCGCAAGGAGGCTGTAACGGCAGGTTGAGAGTAGATTCATTTGCCGAGGGTTGATGTGAGGATTCCAACATTAGATGTTGTACGTCTCCAAAATGGTGGTAGATTGCCCCCTTGGTAAGGTATTAATCTTAGATGCACTGGAAGTTGGCAGATACACATGATGTCCTCCTAGGTCAGAAGACATGTAGTACGTCGTAAGAAGGACACTGCATCTAAAATATTCTTTGAGCTTCCAGAAGACCTAGGGTCATGGGGATCCATGAGTTACCGAATGACCGTGCGTCGACTTGTGGGTTCAGAAAACGATGACCACACCTCGCAGTCGCTGTAGATAACGCGTGACAACGTGCAGTTGTAATTGCGACTGTTTGGCTCAACCAAATTCGGACAATATCCAATTCTTCTCTCCTTCCAACGCGTCAATGTCCAAGGCTCTGAAGGCGAAAGATCAACTGGTGGCAAGTACTTCTCTGCAACGTTTTTCGCTTGAGTAATAAAACTATTCTAGCGCATTCTGATTCCTGCGGGCAAGGCTGCACCTACACCACCCGTCGGTCCAGCGCTTGGTGCGCGTGGTGTAAAATCTATGGATTTCTGCAAGGAGTTCAATGCGCGAACTGCCCATATTGAACCTGGGGTCCCAACTCCTACTTTAATCACCGTCGAGCCTGACCGCACTTTCTCGTTTATCACCAAAACACCACCAACGACCTACCTCTTGAAAAAAACTGCGGGGATAGAAAAGGGAACAGGTCGACCTGGCCATGAAGTCACCGGAACAATTAGTCTCAAACACGTGTATGAAGTCGCAAAAATTAAAGCCAAGGATGCGCACCTCAAGCACTTGAAGCTCGAGTCGATCGCAAGTACTGTTGTTGGCACAGCGAAAAGTTTGGGTTTACAGGTTGTGCCGTGACCTCCTGTCACAGATATTCGCAGAAAAGGTACGCAAATGGTGTTGCATTATTCTCCCGATGGGCTTACGATCGAGATTCGACTCGTGCGTGCCGCACCTTATCAATCTGAATCAAGACATGCGATCTCTCATCGAGAACTAAGGACACGGGGTCGCCACCGCATCCCCAGTCGATATATGTATGATAGGCCATGATCGGACGCACTCCAAAGTCAAAGAACTAGATGCACACTAATCTACATCGTGTAATGAAGAGATGGAAAGGGAAGCGCCTGATGCAACGAGGAGCAACTTGAGTAAGGTTGAGTTCATTCACCTTAAATTACGCTTCTCTCTCTTCATTTGAACAAGGACTCTCCGGTCTTCGTAAACCGAGGTTGTCTTCTAGCGAGCGCTCCCTTAACTCCAGGCCAGGTTGCCTAATTCAGAATTCATGAAACTTTATTTTGAACTTCCTCCACCCCCTTCATCCTCAAGCATAGGCGGTATTTTTGTCGCAGCGTTTAGCAGAGGTCATGGGCTTATCACTAGTACCTTTGTCCTGCTTATGGGATTTCCCGCCATGCTGTTGACACGCCTCGGTCAGGTTTAACCGCATCTATCCCGCATTCATAGAACACGTTCTCAGGTCTAGTTCTACCGCCAATGTCATGTATCTGACCTGCCATTTGGAGAGGCTTCCTTACCGCATGTAAGCTGGTGAAGATCTCCTCGTCCTCTTATTTCTCTCTTTGATTAGTGCGTTTTATGAGTATTCTCGGCGACCTTCTCATGCCAGACTGTTTGCTGATCCCTCGGTAACTCAGTGTATAAACGAACATTGTGCTCTTGTGAGATAGAAGGGTCGTATGTGTCATGCCGAATGACCTCGACGCCAGTCTACTTGTCCCAGAGGAATCAGCGCTTGTGTGTTGAACGCGTGTTCCTCGATCATGTCGGCCTCGACCTGAGTTGCTGCATCGGACCATTGCTCCACAGACAAGTCTCCAGACCACATAACGACACCACGCTTCCTCGTCTACACGTTTGTTGTGTCCTCATCTTTATCTGTCACAAGTCCACGTTGTCAATGAATATTCGCGATCAGGTGAAAAACAAGAGGGGTATGCGGATGTTATCAAACTATTCCACAGTATAAAAAGACAAGGTTTTCATCGTCGGACTCCCCACAAAAACCAATACCCACTCCCGCAAACTTCGACAGCGCTCTTCCTTTCTTTAAGCTATGGCAGCACCATCAAACGAAGTACTTTCGTGGACCAGCCAGGATCCGCGAGAGAGCCAACTCTTTAACGCCTGGGGTGTTGTCTATCGTTTTGCGGTATGCAGCTCCGCAACATTTATAGGCCAAATTGGACCCTGATCGACATCCCTAGACTGTAGTGGCCCCTAGTGGGCAGAGTACTACTACCCTCTGGCGAGCGGTACGGGCTAACAAGGAAGACCGCGTCGCAAAATTGGAATGGGCATCGAATGGTGGCCTCGGTCGTGCAGTGATCGGTAAGGTACAGTAAAACTCGTGGCGTTCTTGGATCCCATTGTTCTGACCGCGTTCCCTCAGAATACAGTACCGATGGCCGACTTGGTTCGCCCGGATCCACGCTTCCCGGTCAGTTACATCAAATGGTCTGATTGCGATATCGCTTATACTATCCATAGGGCGCACGCATATTCAATGCACCCGATGGTCTAACATACCGCTGGCGGCAAACCCCCGGTTCTGCTGATGTCGTAGTGAGTATTTACATCTCGTCCTCCGGAAGCAAACTTAAAGCTGACTATTACTTCCGCAGCTGGAAGATTCCGCTGGAAATATCGTTGCAGTCTTCCGCCCCACACGACCAACACGGTATCAAATTGGGGATGTCTATGGTGAACTCCACTTTCTGCGAAACGCTGGGGCAGCTACCATCGTGAGTACTTGTTACCCCACTCGCTACGCGAAGAGTCAATTTTATTTTTTCCCGATTCCAGATGCATCCTCCAATCATGGACACGGTCACGGTGACTGCCATGCTATACCGATTTTGTCAGGCATTTGGTCTTTGATGTCATTTTTAACGCATGTTAGCAATCTTATTCACACTGTAAATTGGCCCATATTCCCTTTGTACGTACCATTGTTGAACTCTTCCATACATGTAATGCTATACATTTCATACGAGAGAAAATTTCCTTCCGAACGAGCCGGGGGTGCAGCATCAACAGCGACATGGACATCTTCCGATGATCGATAACACGCGTTTCCGGCACTCACGTGTGAGTGCACGATGCAAGTATACCTCATTGTGCTATCAATCGCCTACAATCATTGCGCTAAGCCGCCATAATCAGACCGTCATTTGATTTCATACAATCTGAGTCTAAATGACGCTGTATCGTATGATTCGTATTATCTACAATTTCCCCTTTGCCAAGGACGCTTCTTCTGATGTAACGGCGTCGACAATCTCATCTATTGTACGTACGACCCATTCGGTGCCTTCATCGCTTGATAGATATTTGTCTTCGTCATTCAAGTTCTCCTCGTTGCGGGCCTTGAGAAGACCGAAAACGTGGCTGATTAGCTGAGGTCCGACTCTGCCCTCGGCTCGGAGAGTAGCAATGCCGACCACCGATCCAAGAGCGCGGGTGAGGTTTCCTTGCTCCAAGTCCCCTCGTGGCAAGGGAGACAGGACCGTACCGTAGGCCTGAATGATAAACTCTGTGAAAGTGGATCAGGCTCGTATGTGCAGTATGTGCAGAAACATAAAATTCGAGGGCGCCATTACACCGGGATTGATAAGACCATGGGGTAATGGGAACAAAGAACGTACTGATGAAATCAGGATGAAGGTCCCCCAATTTATTATACAGCTTCACTGCATGAGGCTGGTAAATCGAATTCCACAGTGTTTGACCCCTTGCGACAGTCGCCTCGATGGTCTGCGGAGTTGCTTCCCTGAAGAAAATTTGCAGAAAAAAAAAGATATGAGGCTGAACACTGCCTCGTGTTCGGACACCACGTACCTGATAGAGTTTTTCCGTAACGCGGCGTAGACGTCTTCTTCGAGTGCGTCCTTTAGCCCCGTCAAGGAGAGAATCGTCTGAAATTACGTTAAGTCACCTGACCTCGGCGGCGCAGGTATCCGAGGCCATCAAGCTTCTGAACTTCATTTAAGTGCACTCACTCGAGGTACACCAACGAAGATGACGCTCTTTAGTGCGGCTTCCCGCATGAGGGCAGCCTTGTACACGACCTCCGTAAGGCTCTTTCGCGATTCGAGCGAGTTTGGATCACTCCTGGTAGCGAACCGATACAAGTGGCCAACAGAAGACGGTCTGTTAGTGGTAAGGAGTGTGCATGTCTGTTATCTCCGCTTGAATGGGGCTAGAAGAGCAATTTCGCAAGAGGCATACGTACCGAGAGGACGAGCCATCCGTTTTCAGCGTTTCGTTGTTTTGCCTCGTTCAGGGTACGGTTGAACACGTTATGAAGTTTTCCAAGAGAGGGGCTTGGCCAAGCTTCCGGGTTACGGAGAGTCAAAAGATGCTTAACTGCAGGTGGTAAATGTTTGACCATGTCGTACTATACTCTTCTGGGATCGCATTGCTCGGGCAATAAGAGGACTATATACGCGAGATCGGACTTGCAAGTCCGACCTGCTGATCCTCGTACGGCACGCCGTATACGAGCAGCTTCGTCATGGCAAACGGCGGTCGACCGTGTTTGAAACTCCGCTTCCCCGACCATTTCTCCATAATAGGAAGATTCGGTCACTTGTTTTACCAAAGAAAGAAGGTGACTCCGGGAAGTTGACCCCTGGGAAAGTTTTACCGACCCTTATTTTTCCGTATACGGGATCCCGTCGTTGAAAACACGTGTGTCACTCATGATAGTGAAACTAAAATTGATCGCTGTTTCCTTTTACAGAACATTCTCCCCCGGGATGTGTGAGGGTTCAAGAATAAAGTCTGCATTGTTCAACAAAAGCACAACTTTTCTAATCGACCAGGCGACATGAGAAACCAGTACACTACGTGACCAGATAAAGGGTAACAGTGAGATAAATGATAAGTGAATCCAATCCAACAGTGGCATGGTATCAATATGATGAAGCCGACAGGGCCACAAAGCCTGAATCCCGCGGGCTATGTATAATTCATGACCAGAACTAAAATTCCTTAGCCAAAGTAGTCGTAAGCAAGAGAAGTGGGCGTGTCATCGCTGGAGAGGAGAGAGTTAGCGGTATTGACTCCTTGAAGGTCGCTCATAACACCTGGCGTGAGAAATCAGCAAATGTAGCACGGAAATGAATATCAGTCTCACCGAAGGGGAAGGCAACTTCGAACCAGGAAGTGCTGTCGACAAAGTTAGCGATAGTGCCTGCAAAAGCATACACTTCATCCTGGCTGGCCTGTGCACCGTCACTGAAACTCTTCAGGGACATGTTAACTAACGAGACTTAATGTAATTGGGGACTAGTTACCTGATCAGCAAACTCGGTAACCCAGATGGGCAAGTTGTACGTGGTGTGCAGCTGGGTGGCATAGCTGATGAAATCTTGAGCATTAGTCCCGTAGAAGTGGAACGCGATAGCATCAACCTAATCACAAAAAAAAATCAGGAAACGGATAAAATTATGACGAATTTAGACAAACGTGGCAACCAGAGCAGGCTTGGAAGAAGCCAGCCATCCAGTCAAGACCAGCCTGGTCATTGGTGCAAGCAGGGGAGACGAGGTAGTAACCCGAGTTTTGCAAAGGGTTGATATATTGCTGCCAGAGCGATGCACCATCCGCGGGACTCATGTTGGACTGACTGGGTTCGTTGGGCCTGAAAATCAGAACTGTCAAAATCAGTGCCAAAAATAGGCCCATGGGACCCACTCGTTCATGCCAAGGACATATTTGGCGTAACCGGGAACAACCAAGCTTTGGAAGTCGGAAATCTGATCATAACCCCACAACATGGGAATCCCTTCAAGGCCATAGATGTCAGTGGGCAAGTAAGGGCTCCAAGTGTAGAGGCTGTTTTATGATTAGAGAAAATGACCAAAGGGGATTTAAAGTACGTACAAGCCAACATTGGGACGGGCGGCGAAAGTGGATAGGTAGCTGGCATCGCCGTTAGCCCAGCCCAAACCCCACTTCTTACCCCCTGAAGTGGGAGTGGAGGCGGGAGTGGGGGTAGGAGTAGGAGTGGGGGTGGGGTAGGAGTTGCAGCGATGTAGGTAGTACCCGTGCTCGAGGGTGCAGGCGTGTAAGCACCGACTGAATATGACGAAGACAAAGACAAAGTGGGAGTGCTAGCACCAGCACTTGAAGCAGAGGCAGTTGTTGGCTTGGGCTTGCATTGACCAGAAGCAGAGCCTGCAGTGTCACGCTTCCTCTTTGCTGCTGCTATGGCTTGGTGATCACGAGCATAACGAGCGACATGAGAACGATCTGTAGTCAAGGCATTGGCAGGTGTAGGACCAGACACGAGTGCAAGAAGAACGACTGAAGCTAAGGCAAGGAGATTGAATAATTTGAGAGCGGCCATTTTTTTTGGTGGTTGCTGTCCGAGTTGCAGACTGAGGGAATCGTCTTTAAGACGGATAGTTTATATATAACAGTACGGTCACGGAAATTGAGAGAGTGTGGTCTTAAATGAGTGAGGCTGAGCCGTAAGCTCGACGGTGAATGAATGAACAAGAGAAGGCAAAGAAACCCGGAAAAGACCACACATTTTATCGATTGAATTATGTAAGCAATCGCACGGCAAACTTCCAATCGCCATGACATTCATTAACTATTGTGATCACCGTCGTAGTAATACGGATACGAGTAGCTCGTCGTGTTCGACGATGAGGTCGATCATAGGGAGATTAGAAAACAAGATCGTAAATACGCAAAGCACTAGTAGCATATATTATGTAAAATCTTGGACCGAATAGTACCTCAAGGCTAAAACATGAGGCAGTTAGCGTCATAAATCATATTGAACGTGTTTGTAATGATTTAAAAAGGGCAGCGTCTAAAATCGCTCAAACGGTTTCTTTTTCTTCAACTGTCAACTTTTGAAACCGGTTCATCACATAGTTCATCACTGCGTTCATCCTTCATCCCAATCGTCTAATCCCTCAAAAATGTCCGACGCCCAAGCCGCCCAGGTTACAGAGAATGGCGTGCCTCCGGCTGCGCAAGAGTATGTCATCGAAGAAGCTCCCCCATTCAAAGTATCTATATCCTTTTTCTATCTCTTCTTCAAAAATCCTCACTTTCCTATGATAATTTAGGTCTTCGCTGGCAATCTTGCGTACTCTACCACGGATGAAGGGCTCAAGACTTTCTTTGCCCCCGTACAGAGCGACATGTAAGTTTTGACACAGCTTTTAGTTCCCAATGTCCAACCTCTCTTCGCTTTACAGTATCACTGCTCAGGTCATCCTGCGAGGTCCCAGATCCGCAGGTTATGGCTTTGTCGCAATGTCCAGCGCAGAGGCTGCTCAAAGAGCCGTTGACCTCCTCAATCTGAAGGAGCTCGACGGCCGCAAGGTCATCGTCGAGATTGCCAAGCCAGCCGATCAAAAGGACAAAGAAAAGAAGGAAAAAAGGGCCAAGAGGAGACCCAACAGGCGCGGTGCCAAGGCCGTTCCTGGTGAAGTCACCGATGCTGAGGCAAATGGCGAAGTCAAGGCGGAGGATGCCGCTCCCCCCACTGCTGCTTCGGGCACTGACGAGGCAGCTAAGCCCAAAAGAAAAAAGAAAAAGAGCAACGTATGTAATTTACACGCGATAATTCATCAAAATTCATTTCGCTTGCAGCGCAAGTCCCGCCGTGGGGCTACTCCTCCGGAATACGAAATTGTACACGAGGAGGCTGGCTACGAGGACCCTGCCGCAGAGGGTGCCCCTGACGCTGCCACACCTCCCCCCAGGAAGCCTCGCGTCAGGACTCGGAGGCCCAGGACTTATCGCCCATCCCGCGCTGCCGGTGAAGATCCCGTTGGCGAGCCCTCCAAGACCACCCTGTTTGTCGCCAACCTTGGCTTCAGCGTAGACGACGATGCCCTCTCTGCGCTCTTTACCGAAGCTGGCGTCAATGTCGTTTCTGCCCGCGTCGTTCGTCGCCGGTGGGGAACGCCCAGGAGGAGTAAAGGTTACGGCTTTGTCGATGTTGGCACAGAGGAGGAACAGGCGAAGGCGATTGAGGCTGTCCAAGGCAAGGAAGTTGGCGGCCGTCCTATCGCTGTCAAGATTGCTGTCAACTCTGCCCGTCAAGAATCAGCAGAGGAAGCTGAGTACACCTCCTGATCGCACCATACACATACATGACTCCGGTCCCATATCCCGTTGACTTTACCTTAACTTAACGCATGTTCAATTTCCGGTGCAAGTTCATCCTCACTTAGTGTTGTTCATCTCGCTCGCGCTATGGTTTTTCGCGTATGTTTACTAGTCGAGTCGTGTTTTCATTCTGGTGATTTGGTGTCCTTCTTTCATCGGACTTTGTAGACTCGCTAGCAGCTGCAGTCAATTTTTGCGATGTCTACTAAAGACTACGATTTTTTCTACATGGCTGTGGTCATTGAATGATCCCCATATGCTCAAAATAAACGTGTGTGCGTAAGTGATTGTGGCATGTTTGTCAACGGTCAAGTTTACGCTAATTTATGAAGTCGATCCATGGCCGACGAGGATGATTACCTCTCGGACAAGTTTCTTGTCCAGGCTGCAGCCGAGCCTGTGCCGAAAACGTATGCTCAGAAACGCCGAGAGGCTCTAAAGCAGTCTCAAGTCAAGAATGAGCAGAACCGAATGAAGAGTCGGCGGCAGATGGAGCAAGAGTCCAGGGAAGAGGGGCTGAGCAAGAGCCTGTTCGAGCGCGCACAGGAAGAAGAGATAGCCACAGGTGGCAGCAAGGCACTGGGCATCATGATGAAAATGGGGTTCAAGGTCGGGCAATCATTGGGAAAGACCGAGGACAGCCCTCCAAAGAACACAGTTCCCTTACCTGGTCCTAGTCTGTCCGAGGACCAGTATGAGCAGGGTACATCTAGGGCTCAGTCAGAATCTGCGGATCTTGGAGAGGATTTGAAAGGAAAACCTCGACACAAGGTTGAACCATTACCCCTCAATGAATGGCAAGGCATGTCCGCACCGAAAACCTGCATATGGAAGGAAAATAACTGACTTGATAGCTTATCATTGCAGGGAAGAAAGGTATTGGTCTAGGGAAGCGTGCCCGCTCACCCAGTGCCGCAGATCGCCTCGCAAAGATGGCAAAGATGGCAGAAGCTGCCGGTCACGAAAGTTTCCGAGACCGTGCCCGCCGCGAATACGAAGAACGGCGAGCAGAAGGACGCCTTTCCCCTGCACGACAGACGTGCCTTACACTTGACGAGAAGGCAGGCATCACGGTACGTTTTCATTCAGATATGTATGCGGGGATACTAGATTTACTGATCTGTGCGATAGCTCAACGTCCTCTGTTTGGATCCTAACGATCCCGAGTCTATCCCAGAGGGTCTTATGGACACGTTATCAACCCATACACTGCATGTATCACCGTTACGCTCCGCCTCAGGGGACGCCTCCCATGCGGCACGTCTACGCGCCCAAATGGCAGCTGATGCCCTGTTACCGGTTACTTCATTGGATGAAGATGAAGATGCCGGCGACAGCAAAACACCCACACCAGTGGAACAATTCCCGCAAGAAGTCATCGAGGAAGCGATTTACTTTTTACGACTGGGCGTGAGTATACTTTTAATAAAATCCTTATTTTTTAATGCGTACCCCTGACTCTAATTCTGACGCAGCCGCGGGACCGCTTAAAGCTCCTTCTCGATTATCTGCGGGAGAAATACTCATACTGTTTTTGGTGCGGGACGCAGTATGAGGATGCTATTGATTTGGAACAGAATTGCCCTGGACTTGAAGAAGATGATCACGACTAGATGTCTACTATAGGGAAGATTGTTCCCTTCGTATCGTACAACGTCAATCATATGATTGATCTAAACCTACGAAGATCAATATATAGTACAATTGTGAGTGCGAAAGTTTCACAAGCAAAGAGCGAGGTTATGACAAGTATGAGAAGGAAACGAGGCAAGTGAGACGAAATGCAAAGGAGAGATATGTATGCGTGTATAAGAGAGAGAATTAAAAGGTCCATAAGTCCTTCCTTGGGATACACGGCAACTACATCGTGAACAAGCTGTAACATCATCAGGCCGCGGAATAGAAGTGGAAACGAAGTCCGTTGTTTGGTCCAAACAGAAACTAGCGAGGGACTGGGGGAATGGTGGGCAATGACATCGGCATCAATGATGGTGGAGTGATAACTTCGGGTCTCTCGACGTACTCCCGTTGAGCGAAGGTAAGGACGACAGGCGAGTTTTGCGGTGTCTTGCGGCGAACGTATGAAGAAATTGGGGTGATGGACGGCCTTTCTCTATTGGATAGATGAAGCGGTGCAGGACGTCGTGTGTGCCGAGGAGATGGAGGATTTGGTGATGAAGACTATGCTTTCTGGTAAGGAAAAAGCGGGTTGAGAAAAAAAAGTGGATGCTCTTACCCTACTAGAATCTTCTTGGTCACTCTGACTGGGTGTCAACGACACAGCACTGCTTTGTCTGGCGGTAGACTTGGTGACAATGAGACAACGTACTGACCGGTGAAGCAAAGCAACTCACACTAGCTGAAATGTACGGCGAATATCTGACTGCTCTGACTCGACGTGAACGCCTATCTGAGTCAATGTCACGGGCACAACGGATGGGGCTCCAACCATCAGAACTGCCCAATGAAGAGCATGAAGAACATGAAGAAGAACGATCTCGAGTCTTGACTATACTTGGGGTTTCTGGCTTAGCATCATCTATGCCTAGAGAAGCCATGAGTTGAATGAAAGAAGGGAGAGCGGTCATAAGACGATCTCAGACGTGGTACTATGCAATGTCGGGAGAACTGTCTTCGGTGGGCGGTATAAGTAAGATGAGCATGGTTATAAGGATGTTTTGACCCCTTGGATACCGCCCACGGTTGTCAGGAAGGACGGTCGCCACCTACGAAACTCTGGAGTTCCACTTGTGACTTTATTTTCTTGAAGGTTTGCACTATCAATAGGGTTCCAGCCCCGTCGGCAAGGTGATTGAGTATCAATAAGGGGCGCTATTCTGGACACACCGCAATCATAGCATACATTCTACTATACCGATTTCCATTGTTCTTTTAACAAGAACTTGTTCACAAGCTTCGAACAATTCTTAATAGGCCGAGCAGTGCACAAGTATAACAATTACCAGGCTGCGCGGAACTTCGAACCGACTTAATTACAGGGTGACAGTCTCCACGCTGCAACCAACTGTTTCCATCAGTCATGCACATGGTCAACCAAACCTGAAAAACTTCAAACTAGATTCTCTTTATCGCATTCGCAACCGTCGGCGAACGCCCTATCAATCGCCGAGTAACTGCGCGCTCGTAACGTGACTCACGTGTGTAATGATCACATCACGCGATAGTCACGCGTTTCCGCTACCAAGCTTTTTTCGTTCTCGTCTGTCATGAACCAACCAGGACAACAAACTACGAGTGCTGGAGGTGGTGGTAACTTCATACCTGCACCGCGGCAGGATATGGAATATATTTGCGCAGGTACTCATCATGACTGCCTGCAAGCATAACTTTACAAACAATCTAATCAAAAGTTTGAAAAAGATTGTGGCGCCAAAAATGAAATAAAGTCTAGGGAACCCATACGTTGTCGCGAGTGTGGTCACCGTATCATGTACAAGAAACGAACAAAGCGGAGTGCGTGTCTGTTGCTCTTGAAACAAGAAACCAAGCAACTGTTGACCTTTTCGTCCAATAGTGGTTCAGTTTGAAGCCCGGTGACATCCAAGTTTCCCGGTTGCAAAACAATTATCAGAGGTGAGTAGCGATGGAGCTATTTCAGTGTACTAGAACAGTAAAAACAGATTACAGACGTTGCGATTAAGTTTGATTACTATACAGTATAAGGATAGACACTTGACGTTTGACGACCTCGTTACCACCGCCCAAGTCGCTTGAACCACACATTCAGGAAACAAGTTACTACCAGCCGATCTAACATCGCGCTGGCGCGTGGGGTCACTCTTAGTATCCTCTCGTGGTTGGACCACGATGCAATGTATTTGTCTTGTGAATCGATACACTGTTTTTGTAGGGGAACGTTAGGAGACGCACGTTCCAACCTCGGTGATACGTACGTATAAGTCAGTCCTATTTTCTGATATCTTCCACTTATATGCGGCACCGACACCGGATTTAAATCTGCGTGAACTAAGATCCATGAAATGAATCAGTAATGGGGATATGAACTCGGGCAAAATACTCCACTGGCTGGTCGCATTTTTGACCTTGCGGAGATCTTTGACAGAAACCTAGTAACCAAATCAGACTGGCGTCGGGGTCATCAGCATCACAAATCTCACCTCTTCTAAACCAAAATACACGGCGGAGGCAATAATGTTTGAGCTCCAGCTGATCTGTCCAACAGTCTCAAAGATCAAACTGTTCATATTTTTCCGCTGATAAGTTGTGGTTCCACCAGAAGAACCAGTCATTGAATGTGAGAACTGCAAGGGCAGTCAAACTCATGAATCTTGGTAGAGGAATGAGTTGGGCGTACCTTGTATAGTTCCAACTCCTCATGTGCTGCTGTTCCTATCACTTGATACACTCGAAACGTCCGCATATCGCCGTTGGTGTCGGTAGAATTAACAAAGCGGAAGACCATGTCGGTTTCGACAGCCATACTAGCTGTGGATATTTTGCAGGGTAAGTTTGCACTTTGAAAGAAAGAAAGAAATGCTAATCCAAGTCGCGAGAGCGGTTTACATGATGATAAGTTTTGAAGGCCAAGAAGGGATTAAATGACTGCAGTAATGAATCTCGCTTTGCGTTTGCGCGGAGAAACTGTTGATCCGACCGAATACACGGTTGGGAGCTGAGGTCACTGATCTATTATCAGTACTATGTCGCATCCCAAATAAGAGCAAGCCATCGACTATGCGTAGGCGAGCGACAATGAGCCATGGAGACGATAAGCGATTGCTAAACGTGAGGTAATGTTCCTGAAGGCGTGTAATGTAAGTACATATTAATATGCCAATCGCAATTTTTTGCTCAACCTCGACACTTGCGGTGGCAGCTCTAAACATTTTGTATTTCAGGTGCCTATCAACATTACTCAGGATTCAACATTTACTCAGGATGAATCGATACGCGATATCGAGCACCACGATGAGCGGCAGGGTCACGCATTATCACATCACCGACTGAAGAAAAACGCCAAAAGACTCCCTCAACTAGTTGGAACCAGATTTTTGACGTGTGGCGCGCGGACGCGAATAAAAGAGCCCCCGAGTTGGTCGAACCACGTACCAAGTGAGAACGAATCTGAAGGATGATCACCGAGATCGACACCCTGCAAAACACGTGTCACGTCAATCAATTCGAATTTCATGGATACAAGCAGGACCAGCAGCCGAAGGGATTTCGTACACCCTGCGACGAACAATCGCACCAGTCAGGGTAAATAGGCAGATGGTGGGTTTGTACTCACATTAATCTGAACTTGACCAAGTACATTTAGCTGTTAGTATAGGGACGGTCCTGTGTATTTCGGCTCTGAAGGCCAAACGGCCCGAGAGGCGATAAGACATGATAGGATGTTTTCTCGCGGATGAAATATGGCGACGCTATGATGTCAACGTTAAGGGTCATCATGAGAACATTGGCGATTCAGTGAGCAACACCCTGTATGATGACGATAAGAAAGAACGTTACGGGCCAGCAAATGCGGAACTTGCTGAAATTAAACCCCCATTTCGTCGGAGCTGTGTAAATGTTAGCCAATTGTTATGTCAATCCATAAGGTTCTGATGCCGACTAGGTGGGAATAGCGTGTTTTAAGGGGGAAGAGCTTGCACCTGAGCCAAATAAGAGCTCGACAGATGCTGCTCGATTTGAAGGACATATTCGAAATACATTCATAGATGTCCCCGTGTATGTATCGCATCTGTCCATAGAACGTTTCTGACGGGTGTTGGTAGGGACTGCCTCAGGGCCTATTACAAGGCTGAGAAAACTAGGACTATCAGCTTTATCAAAATCGGGATATATTTTCGCCGAGCCATACACGAGTCGACGACTCAGTTGGATGCATTTCAAGTTGTCATAGAACTACTCACATGTTTCACACCTGGCGTTGCTTGATACCAAACGCAGCAAGGAGACCATAGTGTAACACTAGCGCATACTATGAAAGCCAAAGACAGAAAGAGCGGATGACCGAACGAGAGAGATCAGCGCACAAGATGTGCGGCTCCGAATGTAGGTTGTTGGCGCCTCGGAACGCCTGAAACATGAAGTCATACTTTTAAACCAGCGTGATACATGATTCACATGATTGGCCGGGCGCCGGACAAAGACTGACACGGACGATTTGTCATCCGGCTCGGCTATTTAGACTAACCGGTCGTCGGAGTCGGCATCGCACTCAGTCACTAGGTGCCGACGCTGACTATGCTGACTACGCGGGCATTGCAAATATCATTGTACCCGTCAAACCATTAGTACTCACTTTTGACCAACTACCTATCATTTCCACAAAATGCCTGATGCGCCCCGCAGTGTATCTGGAGAACTTGATCTAGTATGCTTCTTTTTCACTTACTGTCTCTTGATCTCACAAAAATAATCATTTTACAGGACTCTGATAATGAATCCCATCTCGATCATGGTGATGAACTCGGGGTAGGGGAGCCGAATAAACCAGGCAGGAAAAAAAATCCAAAGTTTGTAAACTTCAGACTGATTTTGCTAAGTATGATTGACCACCGAAAAGCTCACAGGCAGCGCGTCGGGACCAGAATCGTATAGCTCAGCGTGAGTTTCGCCTGAGGAAGCAGCAAAGGGTGCGCCGGTCCGTAATCATTTCCGGCATCATCGTACTAAGTTCCCACTTTCCAACAATCAGATTCGTGACCTCGAAGCACGCGTAGAATTGCTTTCTGCGTCCCAGGATGAAGCTCTGACTGACTGCAGAGCAATTCTCAGGGGTATGTAATTATATTCGTTTGCATCAGTGTTGCTTGTCGTAGTCTATATTTTACAGATCTTATGGCCGAAAATCAGGTCCTTCGCGGCCTCCTAAAGAGTGTGTCCGGGTTTATCGGCGATGGTGCCGGTGGTTTGCTGGTGAAGCTTGGTTGGGATGCGACGGACTTCGACAGCTTCATCAATAAGGCAGAAACGGATACTGCATGGGAGAGTTTCCAAGCTCGCAAACATTCTCAGAAGACTTCGCAAACGTCAAATGCCATGAGTTCAATGCTTGGCCCGTCGAATAACACAGGAAAGCGTCCATCAGAGGACGACAGTGGGCCTGGGCCGGCGAAGAAGGCAAGAGGTATGAGTAACTCAGAGCAAAACGGTGACCGTCGGGACTCTTACTCGCTCATGCTACCTGTGAGCTCTGCAGTGCCTTCTGCTAGCTCCTTATATCCCCCACCACCCCCGCAAGGACGCTCTCCTCAGGACAATATGTTTTCGGATCTTATGCAGTCAGCGAATTCGCCTGTCTTCATGCCCTCCACAACGTCTAGTACACCGAGTCATTATACTGCTTCGACTGATTTTCAACCTTATGTGCCCCAAATGTCCATGAACGTCGAGCAACGCTTAGGGGCAATGTCCTACCCCACGAACAAAACCAATGCGCCTGTCTCTCAGCAGCGGGTTCCTCAAAACTCTTCCATTGAAGAGCCTGATGATCAAGATATGGCAGAACTTCGAGATCCCAAGAAGATTGAGGCCATGAAATTAATCAAGTCCGTTTTTTGTTCATTCCTGCTGTGTGTCTCATATCTGAGTGTCCCTTCAGATATCACCTCGACAATTTTATGAGAAATAGTGCTTATTGTCTTCCGGCTTCATTACGACCAACTCTGGTGCAGAGGTGAGCAAGAGTCTCCCAAGTTTGATGGTCACATGCTTACTACACATGGTCAAGAACGATTAATCATGGTATACTGCTTTCGCTTTTTATTTAACATGTACTGATTCCTTTCCAGAAAGTGTCATCGACCGTATCATATATCCTGAGCTCCGAGACCGTATCATCCTTCTTCGAGGTAGTCATATAACAATTTTCGAGCACGGTGACATTCTGATATTTTCCAGGGCAATTCTCATTAGCAGACTGTCTTTTTGACTACAAGAAGGCGGTCAAGCTTCATGGAGATGATGTTCTTGCCCAGCATAACTGGGAACTTGCTGAGTGGTGGTTACGGAAATACAGGTACCCTTGCAAGCTGTGCAATGCCCACATGGTATGCTGATTCTTCTCTAGCTACCTTATTGATAAGGCAACCTTAAATGTCTGTAATCGCTGGAGACGCGAGCGCGGTGAACACGATCTGTTGTTATCTGATATCGGTGCTCAAGGGGATTCTCCCGCGTCCTAGGACTAATGTGGTTTCGTGCTGGAACCTTGTAAAGTTAGTACTGTACATAATGATACGTGCGCAGACTTCGTGCGGTAATATACTTATACTGCGAGCTACATCTAGACAAAAGGATGTGTGCAAAAGAAGTCCCGCAGGAACGACTGCTTCCCTTCACCTATAATGGTCTGGTTAGGAGAGACTAAGTATACACTGCATTGAACACCCATGAGCACTCCATTTCCTGCTAATCAAACACACGTAAACTCACCAGACCACAAAATCTTACGCACGCGTAACCTCCATCTACCAAGAAGCTTTGCGCACGCCGGGGAGTTCCAGCTTGAGCGCCTTCAGTCGGAACTGGTACTGTCAAAGTCACGAGATGAGGACGCGTTCAAGGAAACCCAAGCAGGTCACATACTCGACAAAGTGCAAACTCGCTGATAATCCCCCGACCACGTCCAGATTCTGTGCAACGGTTCTTCACCGTCGTCGGACGTGTGTACTTCCCGAATGTATTCAGCTGCAGCTGAGCTTGGTGTCGCACTTGCGGAGACAGGGTCTCATTCCGCGCGACATATAGGTAGGCCTTGCGGAGGATTTCATTAGCCTTTACGATGTTGCGGGCCTTGATATCTCGGAGTACGCGGGCGTTGGGCATGATGACCAGTACAGTTTTCACCGAAAGGTGGTTAAAGGCGTATGGAAAACAAGTGCAAACATCACGTCTTTAGCATGGTCGGCGACATCCGGCACGACTTCAAAAGTTAGCGTCGAACCACCTTGAACGCAAACACATCTTGCTCGAGAGGATGGGCAGAGTGTCGGTGCGTAAACTATCCATCTGGTTTCCAATCTTGTCCACTGACAATAGAACGCACGAAAAGTTTTAGAATGCCCATTTCCAAAAGTTTTCGTCTAACATACCAACAACGCCGCACATTAGTTTCAACTCTGTTCGGCCTCACATTTTTTGCGTCTGTATTGACGGTTTCTGCGTCCAACGTGCTGCCATGTCCCGTTCGACCTGATCGGAGCAGATACGGAGATACGGAGGGGAAAGCAGGGGGAAAGAGGCCTGCACCGGTGGTGGAGAAGATGCCAAGAAGGTGGATACAGGAGAGGCCCTCTTCGGAGGATACACCGGCTTAAGCCATTGCCGACGAGGAGGCCCGACGTGAAGATTCAGGCAGTTTCTCTACATTACCCAGTACAGTATACAGCGTACACCACTACCGTCTACTACTACTATTACAACATCCCAGAATGATGAGGTATATGAAAGCTGCGCGGGGTACATGGCTTGGGGGCGTCTAATGAGTACATAGTGTGGTACCAACATGCTTGGGTGTCGCTGGAGTTATTGAGGGATAATTACACCCGACGCAAACGGTCAGTCAGTCAAATGAATGTCTAAGGTGAGTACTGCTGAAGCAGTGTCATTTTGCGCAAGTTGTTGGTTCCTATAATGTTCTTCTTGCTCCTGAAGTGTTCCTCTGGAAATGTCGACACAGGTTAGCATCGGCAGGGCATGATCGGACGTGACAATCACGTACGGTAGGGGGTGCTCCTCGATGGGTATGCATGCAATGAAAACGAGAATATTGATCGCAATGTGACAAATGAAAACAACATGGAGTGCATCGGCGTACGACTCAACTGCAGCCTTTCTGTGTGCAGGCGTGAGTTCAGGGATCGAGCTTATGGAATGTCTGAACACAGCATCTGTAAGTGTATGCACTGCATTGATTGTCTTTGACATCATACCGTATCTCCTCGATGATCTGGGCAAAGGGGATTCATATGAAATGCGGACGGTATAGGTGCACACCAATGCCGCTTACCTCTAATGAACCAGGCCCAGTAATCCGCTGGCGCAATTTTCTGAGCAGAACGCTCTGGAGCACAGCCCCTGATAAACTAACACCAAGAACTTGGCCAGTTGTTCGGAAAAGATATGTGACTGTAATTTACACATCTTGAGTTCAGAGGTCCTCTCACGGCAGTCAAGCGGCACTTACTACCGGTTGCAACCGCCATATCCTCCTTGTAAACGCTTGCGATCATCGCCTGCAAATTCAGAAGTGGGTCGGTTTATGAATCAGGGGGAAAGAAAAACACTAACAATTAGCGTAGTAGTAATTAAACTGGCCATTCCAAACCCCTGTGGGAGAACATCTAACCATAGATGGTACTGCGATGTGTTTTCATCCCACAGAGCGAGGCAAATACTGGCAATGACGGTCAAGCCAACAGAGGCCAACGTTAAGTGATACAATTTGCCTGTTCGCCGCATCATCCTGTATTCGTGACGGTAAGTTAGTCAGAATGATGGATGGCCACAAGAACCTCACCAGCCTGCAATCATACTTCCCGTGGATAGAGCAACCTGTAAGAATGTAAGTATTTCCTGTCACAAAACATAAGGAGACCCGCACAGAATGGGGAAGCAAATGTAAACCTAAGGAGCGTGTATTACTTAATGAGTGCAAACGGAGATACTCTCAAGCATACCGGCATTCGTGGACGAGTTGAGCCTGACGGCTGAGAAATACAAAGGGACATTGTATATCTGGACAATATGCCGCTTTAATTAAGTAGCAACGTGTAAAGTTTTTAGCCCTCACCGTTGAAAAAGCAGTCACAGAAGCTAAAAAGTTGGCCAGAGATATCGCCAATGGGGTGCGTTGCGTAATTAAGCGCAGGGGCATCACAGGGTACGGCGCCCAGTAAGCTTCCACTAATATGAAAGCCACCCAGAAAACTGCGCTGGTACAAAAAAGCCCCCATATTAGGGGGTGCGACCACGGAAGCTCCTCAGCAGTCTTAAGACTGAAACCGAGCAATAATCCGGCGACCGCACCAACCAACGTGAATGATCCCATGAAATCAATGCGTTGCAATTTGGAATATGTGCTTTGGGTCTCAATCTCATTGGGCAACTTTATGTTGACCTTGAGTGCGACCAAAGTAAAAGATATGAGCAATAGCGGCGCCTAAGTTCGAATGAGGCCAGAATGAGATAGAAAGATACCAGGCTACCAACCTGCAATAGAAATGCTGCCCGCCTGATTAAAATCATTTAGTAGGCTGTGTGGATATTCTAATTGGCTACTAACCAACCCAGGGTGTCGTTCACCCATCCTCCAAATGGACCACCAAGGCCAGCGCCCAGACCAAACAAACTGATCGAGCGTATTCGTTCAAATCCAGTGAGAAAACCCGTAGCCACTTACATATTAGTCATTCCTTGGTATAGGCCACGCTGTTTCCTAATAGTAATGATAATGATCTGTGTCATTACTCCATGAAACCCTGACTTACAAGGGCACTAGATCGCTGATGGCAATACTGCTGACTGTGACAAGGTAAATTTTCTTGGTGATTGATATTACAGCACCCAACATACCTGTCATTACTCTGAAACAAATGTCAGCACAGTGAGCCTTGCAAAAATCATTCCGTTGCACGCACCCTCCACCACCCATTCCTGCGACGGCGCGCGCAACAATCAACGCCTCCATAGTGGGAGCGAATGCGCATGCGATAGTACCCGATCCTAGATTTCATATTAAAGGGATGAAATGGCTATCAAAATTGCTGTCCGCACCAAACAAAGTCAGTCCAAGGAGCATTGCTCCCTTGCGACCTAAGATGTCTGATAGTCTACCTGATAAACGTTAAAACGAACATGCATCATAGTTCGATCATTTGGTTGCCTTTACCATATAGAGGGGTAAAACAGCATACTGAGAGCAAGTATGATGTCCCCAGATACGAAGACTGTTCAGATTTATTGAAGTAGCTTCCTATTGGTGAGAGAAGTGTTGCCACAATTGTGCCTATTGACAGAAGTTTGGGGTTTGTTATATTCTTCTTTCACTGCCAGCAAGCTAGAGCGCACCATCCAAAGATCCGAGAAACACCGCACTCCAAAGACCTGAAAGGATCCAAAAAAGTTCAACGCGAGAGACTTGATTTAGCGGCGGTGGGTCGATCGGTAAGCTCGACTCTAAGGCCTGCACAGAGTTATAAGAAGACTCCTGATCATGGTCACGGAGCAACGGCCGGGATTCTTTAGACGATGACCTCGATGACATACGTGGGGTCGTGCGATCGTTTGCGGGGTATCCAAGTAAGTATGAGACTTGTTGGGGGGCGACAGGGCGGGGAGAAGTGTCTCAGCCGTGGTGATTTTAAGGCAGGGAAATTAGAATTTCTGGATATGATTGACGCGCAGGAACATGCTTAAGTGTCTTCCAAAGAAATATATGACTGCCGCTGATGCTCAAGCGACGTGTCTTCAAAGTAGTACACTCCCGTGTCATTCTCCGCTCACATCGGTCCCGGGCCGGCCGAACACGAACAAATCACTTGAACAACTCCTCCTTCAACTCCAACGCATTCAAGCTAATCATACAATATTAAACCAAAATTTTCCGCATAGCAAGCAATCAAGACTGACGTTGTGCACCAGGCTCCAAGATTCGTTGCCGCTGTTTGTTTTCAGCATTCAATCCGTACTCTCCGGACGCTAGGCCCTCCTCAGCTTCGGATCTGAATAGTTGACACATCTGTCACGCTGTCTTTTTTGTCTACCCACCATCCTTACAGCCCGGAATTGCTTAAGCTGCCTTTAGGTGCTTCTGGCCATCTTCAGGGCTGATAGCGGGGCCGACTACCCTCCAACTGGTATGAGTGCCTATTCCTCATTGCTCAAATCCACGTACTAGGAATGAAGTATGTACAACAATCTCCGTGAGATGCGGCCGACATACTACGGCATCTACTACTAACTTTGAAATTGCCTCTGAACCCATGACCATGTGTCCACCGCCAAGTGTGTGGGATCATGCAGCTGAGATATGATGGATATTGCCAGAATGTTCGACCCTCTTCGAACCAACCGGCTGAGTTGTTGCCACCCTCTTCACGTATTGCTTTTCACACGATCTTACACGCTGCTGGGATGTTTCCCTTCTCTTTCGCAGGCTCGCAGCCCTTGTGAGCCAGATAGGCTCTCTGCTTCGACATGAAGTCATACCAGCTACAATCTGAGACACACGAGGCACTGATATATCTAGATAGGTGGTGCAGCAGTCCGCTCATGTATAGGTTCCCGTGACATAGTTCTGTTTTTAGGACCGGAAAATTCCATCCTTACTTCATGCTTCCTGAATTTCACTTAAAAGCTGGTGGGGTCATCTTATATCCCCGAAGTACGTTTCCTTTGCCTTCATCTTGCATTGCTATTAAAGGATCGCACCGCTTGCTCTCTTGTCCTCGAGGATTGATGTTTTGACCGTTTTAGGTGTCTCGACGTTACGGAACGTTTATAAAGACCTGTGTTCTGTTTTTGCAAGTGAAACGCGTTCATTAATTGCAGGATATGCATGGATGGTCATACGTACTGGACGGGTCATGTGGGTTCAGATATGAAGCAATTTCCTCGTATTAACATCCTGTTTGCTAGATCACACGAGACGATACTGATGCGGTCTCATCATGATCCTCGACCCCAGTTTTGGGCAGTTATCACAACTTTTTGTGTCACAAATCAACCACAGATGGGGCTCAGCCACCGTATTATCAAGGAGTCATATCATTGATTATCTGCCACCGGTAAATATTGCTGTGTTAGGATGTCGTATGGAAACCCAG